AAATCAGAGACTTGACTGACCATCACCATATCATACTGTTATATTGTTCGTTATATCATAATGTATTTCATATGTTTTATATACTTGCAACAAAATGTTCTTTGGGTGCAAGTACCAGGGTTCCCATACATTTTAACCAGTGAATTTTCAAAACTTTTCCATAATATTTCACCCCACTTCCACGACTTTATTTAACTGTTGGGACTATATAGTAATACAGCCATACATAATTAAACACGCACTTCCATGCATTTGCAAAGTAGCAAACTTCTAGAGCTTGCTAACTTTATTCGCTCGTTAGACGACTAGCTGCATATGCTAATAGACCAGAGCACAGTACTTTACTTACTACGAAATGTCAAGGTTACACCTGTTTTTGAGGGATAGAAAATCAAAGATCCTGCAGATGTCAATGCAGTTTGACACATGTTTAGATTATAATTTTGACAAGGCTGTGTGCATTTATTTTTTATTTAACAAAACTTTGTATATTTGAATGTTTCTCAAAGCCTTTGAGAAGAACTGGGAACCGAACCTACTAGTTGCTGTCCTAGGTGCCATGAGTGCCTTACCTTTGGCAGACAAGTATGAAATTCAGGCCACTTCATTTGGTATGGTTGTGGCAAGGAAACTTATTCTACTTATGTGGAGGTCAGAGTGTGCACCAACATATGATATGTGGATAAGAGAGTTGATGAATGTAGTGCACTTAGAAAGGTTAAGGTTCTCTAGTAAGAATAAGACTCAAATATTTGTCAGAATTTAGAGCCCCGTACTAGACTACTTCAAGAGTAGTGGATTGTAATGGTCTGACAGTGTAACAGTAAATCCTCTAACGCTGTGTATATGTATTTTATTTTACTAGTAATGTTGGAGTCCTAGGACTTGTTTTTTGTTTTTCTACCTGTGAAGATATTTGTGACTGAGTTATCAACATGACATACTGAGCGTTTGTTGTATATTGAAAATCCTAAAATAAAGGTTTGTTTCATGGACATGTGTGATAATTGCTTTGCAGCCTTGCCTAAAACCTGAGCCTAGGTGATAACTTAATAAGTTCAGGTTGATCGCCATCACGTCCCTTAAGTTGTTTCAACTGTAATGCAGTGTAACACTAGATTTTGAATTAACAATAAAAGGAATGCCATTACTTTTCCAGGAATTTCCCTGAAGACCAAAAACACAGCCATTTTAAGACAGAACATATGAAATCCTCCATTTCTAGAATACAGGAGATCCAGAGACATTTTGAAATACTACTGATCTACTGCTATCACTCATTTTGTGTTTATGTTCATTACAAAAGAAAGGCACAATACTCTAGCGGGAATATCAGTCATTTGATATATGACTTTAACACAATTCAACACTGCTCAAGTCATCATGCTAAGATGGTGGAAAGCTAGCCAAGCCCTTTATGTTATGGGTGCCTCTGGTGTTGTCTATTGTCATGGATTGTGGTTGAGCTAATGAATTGAGTGCAGCTGAAAGACTGTCCCCATTTATAATTTAGAGGCTGTCACTCAATAGGGCCCATAGTCACGCTGTGGCTCCCTGACCTTCTCAGTTAGCCGACCCAGCAGAACCACGTGTGTCACACTGTGCTAGCACTGATGCACAAGCCCACACACTCTCAATGGGGGATGAGTTAGCATTATGCTAATTACCACTAACAATGCTACAGTATCGCACATCCCCTGGGTCGGAGTGAAAGTGAAGCTTGTGGAAAATATGCACTCATGCATGCACTCAGGACATGCACACACACAACTACACACATGAGCACACATACAGAGACAAGAGAGGATGAGAAAGAGCAGTATAAGGATGCAGTTTTAAGGTTACTGAGGGTGTGTGGTATTTTACAGTCTGGGATGCGTCAGTATGAATGGGCTTGACATTAACTTGATAGAGCACTTAGCCATCTCCAGAGGACAATTATGTCTCTGTAATGAATGCAATAAATTAAGGGTGAAACCTGTTATGGAGAGATTGAGTAATCAATCATGCATAAAAACACACACACACTCACAGATACACACACTTACCAAGAGAGCGAGATGAGAGCGTGTGAAGGGCCTGGTCGCCCATCTTAGCCACAGCGCTGAAGTAGGCCTCACTGCAAACAGCTAAGGCTGCAGAGCGCACACACACACACACACACACACACACACACACAAATACACAAATACACAATAAACTACAAGATTTTCAAAAACTTAACATTATAAACTTATAAGCTTTGGAGTAACATCACAGCGAGTTAAACTGCTCTTAACTGGATCAATAAATTCTGCCTTTAGTCGTTATAAACATAACCCCGCAGTACTGCTGATATGTGATTTTGGTTTAGGAATAGCCCCATGCCAGTGGGTATAAATTTACCATGCTGCCTTGTTGCACTGTGACTGACGGCCTGTTCCTTTTTTTATCAGGCAGAGAGGTACATTAATGATACATGCTCACCCAATTACCAGCACAACAAACAGGCTAAAGATTGGAGAAGCACAGACAGAAAGAATTACTGAGGTCAGACAGCACAATGGGGAAACAAAAGGCCAGGACCTTTTTCTAAATTTTGGTACCTCATGTTTTGAGGAAAGCAGCTTTAAATTCTGCTTCATGTTTATTTTCTATGTATTATTTTTTACAAACTATAAGTATAAACCTTATTTTGGCTCACTACTACAACACCCCGTACAAGCCCAGTGACTCCTGCCTGTTGGGAAAAGTTGTATATATCCCACATAATAATGAGTCAGCAATTCGTGTATAATCCACAATGGGCTGATGGGAGTAATGAGGTGAGCAGTCCCGAGCAGTCTAGTTAGGAGGCAGGTTGGGGTGGTGGATCGGTTACAAAACACAGGACTTTTCCCCAGGATTTTCCCCAGGAGACTGGCGTACCTGACAATTTGAACTCTGAGTCATTTTAGGGTACATCATCACCATGTTTCTTTTCCTTAGTCTAACCACAGTAACTTTACTTGCCGAAACCTATCTTCTATAACTTTACCTTATTACATAATTTATAGGATATCATACAAACCATTGTATGAGGATACGTTAGGTTCTTTACAAACACTATATAAACTGTACTGTATATGTCAAACATTTAATATAGTTGCATTTATTTCTGTCATGCCAAACATTTGTTCCTCCTCATGTGAGATAACAAGACGCTATTGTTTATCAAACATAAAAAGCATGACATATCTCTTCTTGTAAAACATGAAAACCCAAAAGAAAGAAAAAATGTTGGTTATTTATGTGCATAAATTGGTTATTAAAAATGAAAAGTGTAAATGTAAATAATAAAAATAACTATTAGAAAATGTCTCTCTGTCTGTCTCATGCATGAAAGCACACAAACACAAACACACTTCAATCTTCAATTCAATCTCCCGCATATCTAGTCATCAGTCACTCACAAACCCACTCACCTTGAAAAGCTTTGACGTAGCTGTTTCCTAAAGCAACAAGCTTCTGGAGACCGGGATTGAAATGCTCCATCAGATTCTACAGTAACACATACACAGACACATAAACATAAAGAGACACACAAACCAACACACCAAAAGAAACAGTGGTTACTTAAGCTGTCACTAAACACACTGGAATTTTAAATCTGATAAATACTCACCTAAGTCACTCCAGCCAGGCCAAGTTTAAATATACATAATAGTTTTCCCCTTACATTTGAAAATACCACATTAAAGCCCACTTTTATTAACAGGAACCAAAGGTAGAGAACAAAGAGACAATATATACTCACCAAATATACAGATAAAGTTGATCTATGCAGCTGGTCACTGGTGGCTCCAGACATAGTGACCAATTTCAAAGACGATAAGAATTTAAAAGAAAGAAAATGCCTAAAAAAATGAACGTCAGAGACAGAACAAACTTCTGTAAAGAGTCTGTATTCCCATTCAGACTTCTGAAGTTTCTTCAGGAGTTTTTTTGTCCTTTGTGTATCGGCGTCTTAAGGCAGTTAAAGTCACCTTGACTGCAGTCCCACTGTACCTATCTGATAGAAGGATAGTACTTTTCTCCCTCTCTCCCTTTTTCTGTCATCTGTTAACGAGCTCTTTTACCCCCTCGTCAGCAACAGTTTTCATGGAAAGAGCGAGCAAACGAGTGAGGGGAAGAGAAAAGGGAGTAGGTGCCATCGATATGAGCGGGCCAGGTAAATTATTGATTGAAGCCCTGAAAGGAAAGGAGGAGGACAGCCAGCTGCCCAATTAGCTGTGACGTAGACTCACACCTAAGGGAGGACCTCAACTCTGGTGAAACAACTTACTGCCTTTAAAAAGTTATGTATTAAGTACGCATTTACTGTGAGATATAAAGATACCATCAATAAGAAATACAGATAAATCTGCGTCATAAGACTTACATATTAAACATCTATGAGGTACAATATATACTGTATACTGATCACCTTCTCTGTCCATCAACAGACCAACATATTAAATCCAGTTGCCAAGAGGAGAGGCAAGTTGAAGTATTGAAACAACTCACATATATATAAAAGAATAACAAGGTGCAATTCAATATTTAGAGGGATCTTCTGATGTTTTGTACTTTATAGTTGAACCTCACTACTCCGTCCACTCCACTAGAAGCTCTTAACATTATTCCTCTGCAACAGGCATCCTAACACTGGCTCTAGAGAGGGCCTTTAGTGTTTTTCAATGAAGTGAAGGGCACCGTAAGTTCTCCTCCACACTTGGAAAAGGAGGGGTAAGTTGCCAGATCTTTGAACCTGGTCAGTCCACCAAGTTGGCTGATTAGTCTGGCATCATGACATTTTCTTGGTTGAAAAAAGAAATTGATCTAATGAGCACCACAGGGGCACTAACACCATTATAAGGCTGTATGCTGGAACCAGCGAGGAGTAATAACAATGGCCAACACTGTAGACAAGATAGACGCTGCTATTGAGGCCATTGTAAATCAACACATTCTCAATATCGCCCTACATCGTAGTTTGTTTTTTCTTCACTTCACCCTTAAAACCAGTACGTGGGAATGGCTATGCATCAGTTTCGACTTAAAATGCTGTGAGCTTTAAGGGTGTACATTGGTCTCTAGTGACTGGTTAGGTCAAATCAAATCCCCCTACCCTATGGTAGTGGAGTGTAACAAGTTGACAATTCTGTCTGAAATCAGGCAAAGAGGTGGGGGGAGGGTATTCAGTTCATTGCAATCTGCAATGTCACCACTAGATGGCATTAAATTCTACACACTGGTCTTTTAAATATTAAAAGGACAAAGGAATCATGAGGATAATACCAAGTTATGCTGTATACTGTGTATAGGGCTGTTCATTTGCATTAAAAAAACCTACTAAACAGCAGGATTGGCAAAAATGTTAATTTTACTGAAAACATTTCCCTTACAACAGAGCAGTCCAGGTCAAGACAGTCAATGTATTATGTCAAAGTGGAATACCACCTAAATTAAGAATTCTGGTATATTATTTCATGCTCTAGGAAAGTTTAATCAATATGTATGAACATGAGCTGCTCTCCCTCAAAGACAGAAACCAGAGAAGTCTCATACTTGTGATGTCATCAAGTAAACAGTCTGAAGCTGCAATGACAATGAATAGAAGCCAGATTTTGTGGATCCACAGAATGTTTGTTCTCTTTTTTATACCCAAAAGAGCTTAATTGTACTGTAGGGTTTTCAGTTCTGAAACAGAAAATGTCCCTGTATACTTAGAACATTCCCCTGGATGCTCTCAGTGTCATTTAGATCATCTCTCCCAATTCATTGTCTGTGGAGCAGCTTTATACTTTATACCCTATGACATCACAAATTCAAATTTTAACACTGAAGTTTTTCTATTTGGAAGAGAATTTTTCATGTTTACTAATATATTTGGGATATCCAAGATCAAAAGAATAAAGTATGAACTGATTGAAAACAACTATCAAAGCTAAAGTAAAATTCTTCGTCAGCAGCTAAACTAACCTGGATTAAACATAGTCAAAAATCGCACAAATATTTAACCTGTAACAGACCAGTTTTGTTGTCATCACATTTGAAAGCTCCAACTTTTCAAGTTAATGAAAGTTTTTTTTTGTTTTTCCAATACTGAATTTTCAATACTTTATAATAATCACAATACTTCCTAGGAAATGGTGCAAGTGTTGTAAAAGTCTTAAAATTGCCTTAAATATTTGACCGACAGTCCTTTCCATTGTTGCTTCTCATCATTGTTCTCATCAGTGTGACCTGTAATCATACATATTGATGAAATAACATACAGGAGGTACAGCCCTACCCAGCAGGTGTGACCATGTCCTTCAAGTTGGCCATGTCATCATAGAAGACCTCATCATCACCACCATGTCTCTTCTGGCAACGACTTACAGTCTCCAGCACAGTTTTCAGGCGGCGATCGAGAGCAGTGAGGTGGGGCTCTGACAGCAATGGAGCTACGCTGTGAAGGGGATCATGGGAGAGCGACTCCCTCATGACATCACTGAGACGATACTGTGGCAAAGACAGTAGACGCAGGCGGAGCCAAGTGGAGCGCCGGATTCTAGAGAAAGAGCAAAATGACAGAGAGGAGTTGGAGAGAAAGAAGGACAGGACAGGATGATAAGGGCAGGAAGAAATAACGGAGAGGAAAATAGGAACCTTATTGTGCTGAATTAAATACTACTCTAACTGAATTTAACTGAAGACAAGAAAGTAAATAACTACAGAGTTATCATATTCTTGTTTTTACCTGCAACACTGTTCTAGAGGAACTAGGATCGAAGGCTCATCTTTGGAGTGACGTCCAAATCTGCAATGAGTCAGTCAAGCTGCATCACAGTCACAACCCCAGACTATGTAAAAGTAATTTACATAAGCACACACACACACACACACACACACACACACACACTGATGCACCACAGATACTCACGCTCTGCCATTGTCAAGGTGTAGTAGGAAGGTATTGTTGCCAAACTTCTCAAAAGTTTCATAATGGTGTCTGTCCATGTTACCTAGAGGAGGGGAGAAGGAATTTGGTTACTTGCAAATGTCAAAGCATACCTCCTTTTCACAGCTTTCTGTTCTAAATATCCTTTGATACACCCCTGACCTGAGGATAACTGCAAATATATTTGAGGGTATTTTATGTGCGTTCATACATGTGGGTGCAAAATAATTGTGTATATACATAAACATTTTCACAGATTTCAAATGAACACCAAGTTAATATAGAACTGTACTACGGGGTATATTAGTACATCATGACAACACTGTTGGGTGTGGTTACAGGTGCAACACCTCTGACCACACCCAACAGTGATGCCGGTTGAATCAGTTGGATTAAATAAAATACTACAAATTACCGTTATGACACTGCTTGAAGTTTTTAATGAGAAACCAAAATTCAAAACATTACAAAAAAACTGTCCTAATGATAAATACAGGATTTCTCATGTAGAAATATGTAGCTGCATTTTATCCGAGCATCAGTCTGGTGCACCCCAGCTGACAAAACCAGGGTGGTTTAGTCCGAGCATACTCACTAGCCTCACCCTCCTCAAACTACACAACACAGGATTTAGCTTGGCCTGAAGGGGAAGCGTAGTGATAATGTTAACATCTGCCAGTCCCCAGTTTCCACTCTCCTGCTCTCCATCAAGATAGAGCGGGCAGTGATAGAGTGGTAGCTGTGGGGCGGTCGGTGGAGAAGCATGTGTGACCTTGACATTGCCGCCATTGTTTAACTGTGAACTTTCACAAGAGAAGGTGTCTTTTGTGCTCCTGACTTGAGCTGTGACACAAATAAGGGGCAGTGAGCATGGCTGTGGAGAGACTGTGTCCTGTACGGCTCCTAGCTGTGTATCCCATGATGCCCCTCTCAGCTCCAGGCCACACAAATACACAGCGTCCAGGGGAAGTGAGGCTGGGTAAGTACTATCACTCAGAACCTGTAATGAAGAGATCAATATGAGTAATTGACCTGCAGGAGTAATGGCAGGGAATTAACTATTTTCATCCACTGGGTTCTAACTTTTAAAAAGCATTTCAGCATGATTTGATTATTTGTATGCTTTACCTGAAAATGCAGAGCTACATCGCTGATATATTTGCGATTTAGTTGAGCAGCCTCTCTCATCACTGTCACCAGAAAGCCTCTGGCGTTTCTGAAGGCAGATAGTCGGTATGCTCCGGGAGGATCTGAAGTGTTGTGGTGCCAGAGATAAGCACTGAGCAACTCTGCTCTCCTCTCCAAGCGAGACAAGTCAGTGAGCTCGAGGAGGGACGCAAAGGTCGGCGAGCTGTATTGAACGGGCTGTTGGAGCTGTGAGAGGAGTGAAGACACCAAATCAATGAGATCATACCACTCAGCCTGGAGGAAGTCACACAGGTGACTGCGAGAAACAGCTCCTGCATTTCTAACTCTGCTGTCACTCCTGTGTGTGAGGTAATTCTTCAGAGCCTGCAGTCTGTCTCTAGCATGGCTATGAGCTGGCAATGTAGCGGGCTGGTTTAGCTGTGTGTAGAAACTCCTCACTGTTCCTAGAGGAGTTTGGGAGGCCTGCAGGAGTGTGTTCAGATTGTGGCTATTGATCTTGATGATCTCAGCTGCCACATCTGCACCGAAGCCCAGCACACGGGGGTCATTAATGTTTTCTGAATCCTGAAGACTCTCTTCCAAAATCTGCAGTAGTTCTGACAAATCTGAGGAAATAAAACATATTAACAATCAATACATTGTTCTGACACACAAACACCCACTGTGGCTCTAATGCTTGGACTCCTTGCTGCTTGTTGTTTGTAATAATGATTTACAACTGTAGCCTTACATTAAAGTGGCAATTGTAATACTTGTTCTACATACAGGCTTCAGATAAATGTTTTAAATGTAAGAGTAAACCCAGCAAACATTGAGACATTGAATGACCATTGTTTGAATGTGCAATCAAGACGTCCTTTATGGCTCAAAAATAGTTCCAAAATGAAAGTTGTACCAATGTCCACAAGATTACCTGGCTGTCAGCAGGTCCTCCTTCTGAAGTGCCCTAGCAAAGTCGAAACAGGATAATAAACTACGTTTGACCTACATGGGACTCAGACTGTGGTCTTCTGGGTGAAAGTCTATTCATACACCACAACTTTCTATGTACATGGATTTAATATTACTATCTACTGTTTATACTAAAGTCCTGAATGGTAATTCTCTCATGTCCGATCAAAGACAGCTTTGGGCTCTTGCAAACACCACAGGCTTAGAATAATGGGACAGAAATACATTTTACATGTAGATATAAATATAAATAAAGGGCATGAACATCTATTTTAAATTTGTAAAAATGGGCATCAAGTAATACTACTCTTTGGACGTGGAGTGATCATCATCTGATCATATCCATTTCACAACCAAATTGTTGATAAAATGTCTGTGTTTAAAAATGAAAAAGATACATGCATTTGCTTTTTTCATGGCAGTAATATGATCAATATTTCCTGGCTTACAAAAAAAGGGTCTGAATGGATCATGATCAGACATGGAAACAATGTCGTCATCTAGCTGTTTGCCTCATAATCGCATTGCAGATTTTGCATCCGACCAGTACCACTTGTAGCCAGGGACACAACGTCTCCGTCCAACCAGTGTTTGCTGGGAAGAAAAGATCTTTCCAGGATCTATTTCCTCCAGTTAACTGTGCCATCAGCTAGCTAGTATGATGTTTACTTAAGCACAATATAGTACTATGAGAAAGTTATTGGTTACCAAAGCGGCCATGAATCCTGGTAATATTCGAGAGGATGTGTGGTCCACTGCTCCAGAGAGGTGATTCTCTACTGAAGCAGGTCTCTGCAACGCTGTCCACCGCCTTCAAATCTGCAGAGTCTAGTACATGGCCACCATGCACTAGATTAACTACGAATGAAAAGTACAACAAGGTTAAAGCGTACAGTAACTGATTTAGAGGGACGGTTTTATCTGTAAATGCTGCCTCACCTGCTATATATTTCAAAGCCTTAGTCTTGTCATGGCAGAGACTACCAATCCAAATGTGTGCATCCATCAAAACCAGAAGGTCTTCCTGACTCCTTCAAAACAGAAACAACCCACATGCACAACATAAACTCTTAATCCATCCTGAAAAATCCACCATTTGAAGAATGTGCCTTGGCTTTAAAATACAGAGACATCAGTTCAGGTCATACAGTATTGAGTTTCATTCATAATGGATATCACAGGGAAATATACAGATAACTACAGTATACAGTAGGGCAATGGCCTCACCATTCGTAGATTCTCCCTTGGCCTAAGTATTTATAGGTCTGTCTCTGCAGTAACACAGAGTGGAAGATGGCACAGCGCAGGAGGAGCTCCATGTTGTCAGCTGTGACACCCGACAGTGATTGACACTGTATGACTGACACCACCTGTCGCAAGGAACAACTCAGCTCCTCCTTCAGATCCCAGGGAGAGTCACAGACCAGAGGCAGGGCACACAGTCGCACTGCCGCTGTTTAATAACAACAACCATCATCATTAAAATTAATATCATTATTACAGCCTGAGCGTAATAATTTTTGTTTGTGGAGGGTTGCGATTAGGCTGACAATATAGTGAGCAGTATTTATAATGTAATCTGTTAGGCAGTGGTAGTGGTGGCGAAAAAGAGAAGACTCCTTCATCCCTTGAACTGAAGCTATGGTGACTGACCTTGAAAGGAAGGCTATGATAGAACAATAATGGAAATGTAATAGATCTACCTGGTATGGAGCGTGATGCATATTCTTTCGTTATGAACCACAATCGGAAGCTTGGGTGAATCAGACGTAGCTCCTCTGTGAAACATGTTGGTAGGCAGACAAGATGGCAGATAGGTAGATAGATGAGTTGTAATTGATAATGAGTGAAATACAACTTAAATTGATTCTATATGGTCCACCTACCTCTGAAAGAGGACATCAACTGACTGAGTTGAGCTACTACTGTATCTTCCCATTGTTCCAGCAGGTGACAGTTGTTAAAAACCAACCAGTGGCCCTTGTTAACAGCTTTGTCCAGTGTTGAGAGAATGACCTCTGTGTCACACTGGGCCCCAAAAGAAATGACTTTCACCTGAATCTAAGACATAATTATTAAGAAAAGAATCAAGCACTGCATTTGTGTGCATTAGTTGCAAATATTAACTTGAAACAAGATGAAATGGTGTGTTACCTTCTTTGTTTCTGCTGCACAGTGGGCCAATTTGTTTATTAAGCACAGAGGCTGAATGCTTGTCCACTTATCTCCTCTTTGACTCGGCAATGTAAGCACAATGGGTCCCGCATGTTTGACAAAATACCCTAAGAGGGTGTCTGGGTTCCCACTGTGAGGGGCCTCCATACCTGCAATTTGTCCAGGCAGGTAGAGGTGGTCGGTCATGGCCTTAACTAGCCCCTCCTGGCATTCGGGGAGCATGGTCTTCCAGAGGAGAGCCCGCTGTAGCAGGGATAGATGGGAGTGAGAGGGACAGGGAACAGCCCCTGCTACAGTGGAAGACGGGAAGCGCAGGTATTCCTGCCACTGACTGGGGCAAGTGGAGAGAGAGGCAATCAACCCTTTGAAGACTGGGATCTTCTCCAAGCAGAGGAGCTCTGGGTGGATATGAGGGGGTATCCAGCTGGGTAAACCACTGGTGGACTGAGAGACAGTAGGAGGATGGGAACAGGGTTTTACTTCAGTGACAGGATGCTCTATGTCTTGAAGACCCTTGACTAAAGCCACCCTCTCAGCCTCAGAGCACAGCTGGTTGTGTTGGAGAAGAGCCACAGACAGCAGCAGCTCCAGAACAGCGACGTGGCTCTTGAAGAGACAAGGCCTGTATTGAGCCAGCAGCTGGACTGCCATCCGCTTTGTGACCTCTGGTATTATACCCCCTGACACTTTCCCAGTGGTACATGACACTAATGGCCTGTCCTTCATAGTTAAGGCCTCTTGCATAACTGTGATGAAGCCACACAGGGAAAAGTAGTAGGCAGGGGAAAGACGGGACACCTCCTGCAGAGACCGGTAAAAAGCAGCAGCCAGGTTCATTAATTGTCTGACCACAGCCAGCAGGAGGTCATGGTGCTCAAGCTCCTTACGTAGCTGCTGCATCTCTGCCTGCAGTTTCTTCATTGCATCTTGACAAGCAGCCACGCGGGGTAGAAAAGCAGAGTCCTCTAGCAGTGAGGTGTTAGACTGCAGGATGTAGTCCATCAGAGCATCCTAAGACAAGAATTACATTATCAACTAAAGGGAATTCACTAGGCTTTAGTTTAACTTAAAGAAAATAACTTTTTTCATTCACTGATCACAACCACAGTGGCAGCTTGATTAACAAATATATAAACTACTCCCAAAAGCCCAGTCCATGATTGTGAGCCGTATCCTCACTACAACCAACACATCATGTTCGGTCTGCATTGACACCATTACACCTTGAGCACAGTTAATAAGGTTTCCATAGTTCACAGTCTAATGTAGATAATGTGGACATGCAAAGCCAAACTACAGCTTGTTGGCACAACATGCACTGTAAGATTCAAGCCTGGAAAATTATTAACTGATAATCATTTGAGCCTGACGCTTATCAAGTTCACCCCAAAATCAAAATTACACGTGGTGCTATTTATCAGTCTGGATTGTTTTGGTGTTAGTTGCTAAGTGTTGGAGGTATCAGCCATAAAGATGTCTGCCTTGGACATAAGTGAACTAGATGGCACACCAGTAGTCTCGCCACCAAACAATCAGAGATCTCCGCCTTCTGATAGTCTGGGGACACTCCTTTCTAAAGCGTGTTTAACACACCTGAGAAAACTGCCGGCCGGCAACAAAGCAACTCCTCTTGCATTTTTTAAAAGCACACACCCTCCCAGAAATGTGCGCTCCCCCTTTTCTCATCCACAAGGAAACAAACACACAGAGAGCTTGAAAATGGATGCCGAGAGATTTAACTCCGTTTTATCAAACGTGTGCTCAGTCCACAAGATTGTGGAAATGAAGGACTTACAGTGACTTTGTTTAAAACTTTTAACGCAGTCAGACTATGTTTACAAGCACAAGAGTTCAGCGAGCCACCCAAGGACCGCCCTGCGGATTTACTATTGGTTCTGCAACGTAGGGAGTTTTTCTAAACTCTGAAATTGTATCCGCCCATCTAAACACAAAATCAGGGAGAAAGACATCAGTCTTTAGTTAAGCAAAGAGTCTAAAGACTGACTGAGTCTAGCATGCTAGCATCTACTGTGAGCTCACCTAGCACCACTGAGCTTGCTCATGTCACAGCCCAGCCAGGGAGGACGCATTAATGTTTACATTTTTTGCTATCACAAGCATGAGCCTCTCGTCCACAGTGATACAGTTGGCGAGTGTCATTTGGTAGAAAGAAAAAAGTTCCTACATGAAACTGCTCAGGTCTGTGGATTATCTTAAGTAACCAGGTTATGATTTCTGGAAAGAGACACTGCTGTTGAGTTTTTCAAATGTAAGTCAGGCGCCTTCCAGTTCCATCTTTACAGCTGATATATATCCAACACGTGGCTAGTCATGTCAAACCAAGACTGATGAATAGCACTACAGGTAAAATGAAAATATGTATTTTAGAAATAAAATATGGAATCTTGCAACTACATGGGCTCCAATTCACAAACTGATTTTGATGCATAGTTACAAAGAATACTGACAATGACAGCTGCCATAGAAAAAAAAGACTAATGCAACTGTCACTCATCTATTGTAAAGCCCACTTGAAAGGATGTAAATTCCGAACAAATGCCTGCCGGCCATGTTAATGCCATAATGAACCATACCATTTTGTTCAATAGAAATGTCCCACACTGATTTCATCCTAATTTACTGAATCATATGAGACAACAGAAACCATATTTGCTTGATATGATAGTAAATGGTGCTCTCGTCACCTCTTCTGAGATCAGTTTCTCCTGCAGCAACTGCTTGTCATTCTGGAACTGCAAGTGTTGAGTCAGCAGGTTTTTACACTCAGACTGCAGCAGCTGTGTCAGCATGAGCTCCTGGATCTCTTCTGAGCTCAGAGAGAGGTCAACGACACGTACCTGAGTCAAGATGGACGGATGGATCTCTAAGGAACAAAAGCAAGAATACCTAGTTAGCCACTGCTTTCAGATGAGTTAGAGGAGCCTTTTTCCAAAGTGTCAATTTCATCACTTTCTTTATTTAAATGTAACTTTTTATGAGCAGAGTAATGCAAACAGTACAGAGCAGTATGCTGTCCTAATACTGAGGGTCATCATGATCTGTAAAAAGTTATCAGTATATCTCTGTATCAGTTACAGCTTTGACCAATCACCAAGACAAACCCCTGTTCAATTTCTGTACTGGGATGATGAATGAATTTGAAAGTCCTGCACTACTCTTGCAAGAAAAAGCCAAGTAAGCAACTTTAACAGAGACTACTCCTTGACAGTTATATTGACAAATCCTTCTTACCACTGTTAAGCAGTTGGACAGACAGATGGGTGCTGAGGAAGAGGCAGAATTCAGGGTGGGTCTGCTGAACATGCTGTTTTAACCCTGGAGGGTAACATCCAGCAGGGCGCGCCAATCTGGCCAGAAACTGTGGACTGGGAATTACACGTTCCACGTGAGTTATCAGGACTCTTACACCTAAAAAACAAGAGGTTAGAATGAGTTAAGGCTGGAAAGGGACACTGTGACTTAGATACTGCATAAAGTGATAATCAGTAATATTTTTAATCCCCTAATTACCTTTCTCTGCTGCCTGGTCCAGCTTGTCAAGCAGCTCTGGATCGTCAGCGCAAACCACCATTCCACAGTCAGTCTCCTTCTCAAGCTTGGCATTCTCTCCTGCAGAGAAAACTTTCATTGTACTGGTTGTGGTGATTTTCTATACAAATTGGTTAAAACTGTGTGATATATACAGCATTTTGTTCAGGAAAGTTGTAATGAGCATAACTTCTTGTATTTTAGAATAAAAGGTAAATTGATTAAATAAGCCTAGGATTTCCGGCGGGAGATGATACAGAATGCAACATATGGCACGGATGTTTTGTTCATTTAAGGGCCTACCTGTAATGAAACAGCTTTGTGAGCTTATATCGAGATGCTGCTGAGTGTCTGCCAGTAGAGGCCAGCGCTGAACCCCGGCAGTCCTGCAGCCCCACAGCAACAGCTTTACCACCATTCTGGCAGATGGAGCGTCCTGGTGCATACCTAATGCACAGCCCAGAGGCAGCTGCAGCCTCTCAGACACAGGGATGGGAAAACCGAGAAGGGGGTAAGAAGGTGCAGTGTCAGGGTGAGTAAACAGGGAAGCTCTGGGGTCCTTGGGGTTTATGTTGATGCTTCCTGTCTGACAAAGCTCCATCCACTTGCTCAGCAGTTCTGTGCGTATATCAGGTCCAAAGGGGCCTAAATAAGAGATGATTGCAGCAAGGATAAGGGCGTCTCCTGGTAAGGTTTGTTTATTCAACTCTGCCTCCTGAGGGGAAAAGAGAGAAAAATCATAATTTGAAATCAAAGTGATGTTAAAAAATAATACCAAAGTATGAAATGAAATGGCATGTTTAAGAGACATGTAGAGTGTATTTGCAAATTCTGTGTTACCTGAGCGGCTGCCCTCCAGTCTTTGACATGTATCTCCAGCTGCCCTACAGCTATAGAAGCTTTTCTTTCTGAGATCTCAGCTTTGTGCAGCTCCAGCAGTTCCTCCTCCAGTTCTTTTTGTACCAACTGCAGCTGAAGCCTGACATTCTCTTGACGATGGTACGCGTCCTCCTTGTGCTGCTTGGCCAGGTGCAGTTGACCTCGTGCCTCTTTGGCCAGCATTTCCAATTGCTGCTTGATCAACACTTGGTGTTGCATACAGCAGCACTCATACATAGCCTGAACCCATCGACACAGGGACTCACAGGCTTTGCTCACCTCTTGCACAGACTCTGGTACAAACTGGGGACTGTGAACTATTTGGCCAAGCTGCTGCAGCTGTTCATTTGTCAGATTGTAGCGGTCAAAAAATTCCAACTCCTACAAGAGAATCAGCATATTAGCAACAAAGTAGTCTCTTATGCCACTGTATGCAGAGCAATGAGACCATTCTTAACTTATTCATGACACCACTGTAGTAATTCTATTATTAAAGAAAGGTATTTTCCAATATAAATGTTTTTTCCACACACCTGGAAGAAGTTGGATTGTCCAAGAAGCTGTTTAGCGCTCTCCCATCCTGGTGGACGATTAAAGAGCAAACAAATGGCGTCCATGATTTTCACCACTCCATCAGGTGGGTCTCTGTAGTGGCGTACCTCCTCCAGGTCAGATGGATTCAGACAGTTAATAATCTTGAGGCCTGACAGGAACACATGTCTCATCTAGGACAAAAAAAACAAAACAATTTAAAACGTTCAGTTCATTTCTTGTGACACTTCTACAGAATTTCAACTCCCAACAATCTGAGATGGTATGATGAAAAAGCAAATTAGATGACCTTTAGGATGTGATCTGTTCACAAATATTTTGGGCTTCTTCTAAGTATATATTAAATAATTCATACGTTTTGGATGCTGATATTAATAAAACATGAAATCTGTTCACCTGCTCCTGAGCGTGACTAATTTGCTCTTCCAGATGATGCAGCTTGTTCTCTGCTTCAACACATCTCTCCTGGGCTTCTGTGATCAGCCTCCTCTGATAATCTAAAGCTTTGAGAAGTTCTTTCTCAAGCTAAAGGATGGAGAAATAGGGGTATGTGGGGTTACTTTTACATTATATCTCCTTTAATATTAGATGCAAAACTGTTCAGAGTTTCTCAGTTTGAATTTAATAAACAATATTCCCTGGTTCACTTTATTTACTTCAGCCTCCATGGGACGCTGGAGTGCACTGAATATATTGCTTACAAGGTTGTTTAAATCATTTTTGACTGTGGTACAAAAAAAATCTCTTGTGGTATAGAAAATGTGGCAGTCAATAATGCTACAGCCTTACATAGAATATTGATCCCACTTGAATTGCATATGCTGAATTGCTCTACATTACCTGCTGTGTCTCAGCAACCTTCTCCTGCAGACTTATTAAGTGCTGTTTGTACTGCACAGCTGTGTTGTTCAGAGCATCCAAATGAGACAGAACAGTGGCGAGTCTGGAAAAATACAATCGTTATTGCAGACCAGTATGTGTATTTTTTGTTTAACTTGAAAAACACATAATATTGTGTCAAGAAAATTTCATTTAGACCTGTACTGCAATTCAATTCAACAGCTCTGCAACAAGAACTGCCTCTGTGAAGGTTACCATGTTGGAGTTTTGTTGAAGCTTTGTCAGGTACAGTATAGGGTGACATTATCAAATAAAACTAGCTCAAGGTAGTATTATCATAAATGTTTTGGTATGCACAACAGCAAATGAAATACTGGAGACACAGAGAGAAAAAGAGTAAAAAAGAACAACTACCTGTTGGCTTGGCTCTGCTGTTGCATGTGCAGATGGTTGCATAGGTAACCATAATTAGCAATGAACTCCAAATAAGTCTGAGGGTTGAAAGGCTGATCTCTCAGGAGGACTGAAGCATACTGGCATGCAGATTGGTGCATTCCTGCCATAGCCACTGTCAGGCTGGCCTCTGAGCCTTCTGTCTCCACTAAGTAAAAAGAAAAAGAAAACTAAAAGTGATATGTCGTAGTACAGCCTGGAAAAACTAAAAAGTGGAAAAATAAAGCGAGTAAAGACTAACTTTGGTGGAGTCACTCACATTTGTGGGGACCAGTTTTCAGGCACTGAGCAGCAGCCTCAATTAAAGACTGCTTGGACCAGGGCTGGTATACTTCCACACAGCAACTGAAGCTCAGGGCCTTGGTCAGCTGTGCCTTAATCACAAAGGATAACAAGTAACTTATTTAGGTCTGCTGTTTAAAGGTTGTGTCATTATGTATGTGGAATTTCTAATAATATTTTAATCAGTTTAAAGAGCCCTTTCCATCCCAAAAATAACAACAAAGTAGAGTCCACATGGTCCGCATTCAATTGAAGACTGTGTATTCTAGGGGTTAACCAATAATGGATTTTGAAAGGCCAATTTAATAACAATATTTTGGAACAGGAAAAGGCCGATAGTTGATTAATTGGCTGATATAATCCCTGCACTAAATTTGACAATTTTTGACTTTATTAGAAACTATTTAACTGTTGTACTGAACCTCTAAGTCAAAGTGATAAATGTCTACAAAAATAAATAAACTGGAACTGAAGATCACACTAACCGTAAAATGTCTTGGTGGGAGTGATTTTTATTTTTTGAGCTATTCATTTTCCTCAATGTCGACTTGAGATTCTCAGGTACACAGTGACATCACCTTGACCTCCATGTGACTGATGGAGACTGCACAGGCAGCTGCAACCATTGGAGGCAGGTTTAGCCGATAAAATAGGTTTGTAATACATCTTATCGCTGCCAATGAATCAGCCACACAGAAAAATCTCATGTGTATACTCAATGATACGGGATACATTTAGAATGTGGACCACAGTGACTCGACTGTAATGTGACAGTTGGGGCACAAAGTGTGCTGCACCCTAATCAAGAGTATCAAACGTAAAGGGACAAGTTTAAATGTTTGTGCCTGGACTGATCTCTGTTTTGTTATTGGATACAGGTATAGAGGTTCAATGACAGGTGCAGTATTTCAAAGAAAATACTTATTTACATTCCATCTGTGGGTCCCAGTGTTGGCAGGTGTCTCACTGCTGTCTGACATGGCGAAGGGAAGCAACAGGAACACATGCACATTTCTGTGGATTTGGCTCAAGAACCTTTGTGAAAAGAATCAGAACAAATATGGCTTACAATTACAATGTGCTCATATTTTCATTTTCAAAATCTTACTGTAAGTAGTGGATTTATCTATTAGCCCACTCCTGTAAATGATCTTACATTACCATCATTGTCACTACTACCACAATATAAATTAATGTAGTGATAAATGCCAACATCACAAGAACATTAGCATTACAAATACTTATTTCAACACAGAACTAAGTTAGATCTAAACAATGTAGCTAACTAGCATGAGCACTATTAGATTAATTGGATATTTTCCTCTTACTTCTCAAACGTCCAACTGTCCATGAGGTATTGTCTTGAGTTTTTCATATCAGTCACTCTGGAAACAAGGTTTCTCAGCTCCTCATCTGTGTAGAGCCCTGGGTAGGTTCTGTGAGCCATTGCCACCAACATTTCTTCTCTCACAGTCTGGCTTATTTCCTCATGGACCAGTATGATAACATTAACTCCATCCACTCTGGTCTGATTCCCAGCGTCTTTTAGGATTTCATGCAATATATTCTCATTACCAGGGTGCACCTCAATCAAATGGCAGCCTGTTACATAGGCAGCTAATCGCACAGTGGTTTTACGGCCTGTGCCTTTGTCTGAGCCAATCAGCACTCCGTGGCCTCCAGGTATGAGAAGAGCCCTGAGGATATGTAACAGCTGCCTCACCCTCTGTCTGTGTACTATGTATTTGGTAGTAATGCTGTAGTCATTACCAGCCTTTTCTCGTTTGTCTTTTCTGTCGATGCATGCACACAGCTCCTGCAGTAGTACGTCAAGGTCTCTGTGCTGATAAGAAGAGCTACATTTCACATTGTGTTGCTGATTTGCTGAGGCCTCAGGGAACTCAGGGCCATATACAAGCTGAGCCATTATGTCTTCCATATGCTGAAGAATCATGGGTTGCAGAGGCTGAGGTTTTAGGCTTGCCTCTTCTGAGCAAATGTTTTCAGACAGAAGGGAAGGTTCAGTCAACATATGGTATTTCCTCAGGTCTGACTGGCCAGCTGGTGTTGGCTCTTCAGGAAGATTTACTGTCTCTAAACTCTGACCTACAGGCTTACAAGTGCCTGCAGGGTCCATGGGTAGTGTGTGACTAGGAAGGCTTGTGACAGTGGGTGGATCATCTGAACAGACAGGCTGAGTTTCATCAATCAGTCTAATTCCATAGTGGGTTGTTGCTGTCTTGGCTATGAGTGACACAAGAGTTTTGCTTTCATCCTCTGAGCATAACCTGTCACGGAAAGTACGCATGCACTCATGCATCCAGAGATGTGCTATGTTAAGAATTAATGCAGGCCCTGGCAGGAGTGGAGGAAAGCCTGGTAGTGAATGCTCATTTTTCTGCATTGTCCCTGTGGTTGGGATGTTAGGTTGGCACAGACACATCCCTCTAAACACCTTCTGAAGGTCATGATGGGAAAACATGAAATGGGGCCTCTGTGCAGTAGGCTGGAATTGCTCACATACTGCATGATACAGATCTTTAGTTGCAGTGATGATACAACATGCCATGTCTTCACCACTCTGCTTCAGTGGCATTTCTTTGAGCCAGATTTTCAGCCGAGGAGAATGGATTGACAATATAACCTCCATAGATAGGCTGGGGAGCACAAAGATAGTGAACAGGCGTGAGAGCCTGGAGGATATCACATTACTGTGGTGACTGCCCATTCCAAAGACACAACAGGTAGCCATGTATCTCATGGTTCCAGCACTCAATGACTTTAAGTGATAGGCATCAAATGTTAGAATTTCTCCCTTCGAAATACTCTGTCGTAGTGTTTCTAAAGCCGCTGACATCTTCCCAGAGACATCTATCAACAGAACGGATAGAAACATTAACCTTAGAAAGCTTCTCACAGTGCAACATCACATTCAAATTAAACTATATTAGTTCTCCTCAGGTAAATTTTCTTACTCACCACAAGAGGCCTCGTGCAGATCATCCACAAAAAGAAGCAATCCAGGCTGTTTAGTCATGGAATTCAAAGTATCTTTACAGATCTTCTGGCAGCTAATGCTATTCAGTATAGAGCGCAGGTCCCTGGAGCTGAGGAGTGGACTGCCAGGAAGGCTAATATGTGGTTTGTCAAAACTCAGCAAAGATTTGCACAGAGTGGTTTTCCCAGAACCCGGCTCTCCTGCAAGCAACACTGGCTGGTTTGCCTCCAACATGATGTTCAGGAGATGGGTATATTTCACATACTGTATAAAGAGATTTAAGAAACTTGTTGGATAAAATGTTTAAATGCATGGAACATTACATTCATGTACGTTCACTATACTACGGAGAATGTTTAGGACAAACCTGGGAGGTGATAGAATTTGTCAGCAGTGTGCTCCTGGGGCATATTTTGCTGTCGATGTTAAAAAAGTGTTCAAACACACTCTCCTCATCAGGAACCACAATTTTGTACCGACAATTAAACAGCACTTGACGGGCTAGTAAGTCGAACTGTGGCCAGTGGCTGAAATATAAACAAGAAGTATACAAAGAAAATCTGTGACAAATATTTAGTTTTTAAGAAAAAAGTGATTAAATATGCGTATAGAAATAATATACATATTAAATTACTTGCATAAATAATTGACACTACAAAACACGTCCAAAAGATTCTCTTACCGAGGATGAAGATATCCACCAAATCCCCAAATATAAGCCACCAGAAAAAGGTTCCTGGCGAGCAGATCTTGTTTCATGTGGGGATCTGTGCCTGCTTTTCCAGTTCTGTGTAGAGGTATATCTGGTGGGAGAATAAGTGATGCAGTATTAAAAAAGTCAATACCTTAACTAGTCTGTATGATTTCGAGGTTACATGTTAATGAGCAATGGTTATACCTTTTTTGTCTGTTTGTGGTATTGCCTCAGCTTCTTTCACATCCTTTTCAAAATACTGCAGTAGGGCGCGTAGGATCCGAACAAAGGACATGATTTCTTGCACTCCATTCACATGGTTTTTAAATGATTCGCCATCATTATGGATTGCAGAGGTTAAAGCCTGTTGCCTGAGAAGACTAAGAGTGCTGGAGAAAAGATCTGCAGCCAGTCGATTCCACATTTTCAAGGTTACTTCATTCAGTTTGTGCTCAGAAGATAGAGCATCCATTTCACTCTTCCACACAGCCTTCCACACATCAATACCTGTGAAATAAACAAGGCTGCAACGGGTCACTGCAGACGGACTTGCATCACGTAGGTCAGTGATCTCCATGAGCAGCTTAACGTGCGACTGGGATAGCAGTGTTTCACCTGATGGCAGGCACAGAAAGGGGTCCTTAGGAATGCATAGTGTGGTTAAGTAATCTAACCAGCAGGGATGCTCAACAGGATTCCCATCCATTACCAGCCATGTTTGTATCTGATCACTTTTCTTTTTATTGATGCAGACTGAGGAACATGTTGGTTCATGTCGCTGTGAATCTCTCAGCACCTTTGCAACAGCTCCGTCCTGCCATCCTCTCTTTTCACAGAAGCAGCCAAATACCTCTTCATGAGACATGGCATTAGGAAATAAGACCACAGTGTCAACAGGGTTCCAGATTGAAGCAGACATCTGTGGCTCTGCCTGTGGGGTATCTCCCTCAATCATATTTCCATTTTCAAACACATCTGCCTTGGCAGCCAGATGATTTAGTGCCCCAGCTAGAGCACAGTAACTGGTCGTCTTTCCACTACCTGAAGGGCCTATAAGGATAACTGCCTGAGAAAATGTCATGGTCTGGTAGAGTGTAAGAGCACTGCTAATTATTTCTGTGTCAGGGTGAAACAGTTTTCTTTGTAATGCTTCTGTAACTGCTTCTTTAAGTGGAATCTTTTCATCTTCCTCAATGTACTGCTGGAAAAGAGGAAACTGACATGCAATAGGGAATGTGTCCTTGAAAATGATGTAGAACTGTGAGGCTTTCTTGTGCTCATAAAGAACAGGTAAGAAGACAGAAAAAACAGCTTTGACTATGGCTGCCTCCTCCATTATTCCCCGTATAATTGACAAATGAGAACTGCACAACCGAGATGGTTTTTCAGTTTCTTTTATATCCTTTCCAACAACTCTGGCAGTCACATTTTGTGCAGTTGCACGCTCAGTTTGTTCTACAGCCACTCCTTTAGCTTCATCTGAAATTTCTCGTTGCCTTACACTTTGTTGTAGGTGTATTTCAGAGGTGAAAATGATCTTTTGCAAGACAACAAGATAGCAGCTCTGGTCATCAGTGATAAAATCGGGCAGACAGAGGGAATCCTTAGCCAGGCTGATGAGGCACACTAGACGTCGACTTAAAGAAGTGGCCTCTGAGAAACCAATGGACGTCAGCATTACTTCAGCAATGATCCCGTAATCTGGATGGGTTAATGCAATAGGTCTGATTGCCCATCGCAGACTCTCTGGAATCTCAGATGTATATCCCTTCAATGAGATAAGAACACATCCATAGTTTAGGCTGGCAGCAATGCTTTTCCCTGCAAGTACCAGGTGGCATTTTGAATCAACAATGTTTTTGCAGTCTGTGACCTCATCTGCAGTTCTGCCTTTTGGCTCCTCATTCCATCTTTGATTCTTACTTCCTGTTAACTCTGAGAAGGATTGATAGATGTCTTCGAGATGTTGCCCCAGTAATGACAAGACCCCTTGTGTTAGTAAGTCTACAGAGTCCAGCAGAAGCCATGCTCCAGTCTGTAGAGCACCCCACAGCAACCGCTGAACAACACCAGGTCTCATGCTTGGACAACACTGCATTGTGACAATCTGTCGCCCCAGAGCTTTTCCTAACTGGGCCACGGTTGTATTCTTTCCAGACATGCAAGGTCCACTCACAAACCCACATCTGTAGCTTGTCAGAGCAAGGAGGACTCCCAGTATCGCCCGATCTGTGGATGGAGTATGAACCATCACCCAATCTTCTGGACCAATATACTCATGATTATATTTGAGTCGATGGCCCAAAATAGCCACATAACATGCTGGGTCATCATTGCCTTTCAGACTCTGATCTTCTGAGTTAATGTGATACTTCATCACACTGAGCCACTCAAAAGATGATTCCAGCACACACTGTACCTCCATGAGTCGAGACAGCTGCTGTATATGCTTCATTGTGAGAAGCACCAAAGCACGTAGATACATCATCATGTATTTAGAAACCAAAGATTCACATTTGGCCCCTGTGACTCCATCTCTTATGGAGCTGCCAAGGCTTTTCAGTTTTGCAGAGTGGTATGCTTTTATGTTGCTCAACGTCACTGGGCTCGATTTTTGGAAAGCTTGTAGAACAGCCCTGCACCAAACTGCCTCCTCAACGACCAGCAGACACTGGAGAGGATATTCGGAGAGCAAATCCAGTAAGGGTACTACAATTTTTTTCCTTCCAGCAATGTGGAACAGGGGGTCTCCAACTTGCTTACCACAGGCCAAATCTTGACTGGATGGTTCAAGCTGGTTTCGCACAATAGCACATTGTTTCAGTAGCTTTACCATGGTCAACTTTAATTGTTTCTCAAAGACACGAAGCCAAACCAAGGCATCCAGATTTGGTTCCAAAGGAGATGGAAAGGTAATGTGCTCCTGGAGGCTGCCAAAAAACCCCAGCACCTTTGTCCGTCTGTGGCTTTGAGATGGTTTTTCACAATCCACTTCGAGCCAGCGTATCCCTTTAAAGCATTTGCGTACTAAGGGTTGCAGAATGAAAGGCGTTGGATGAAAGGAGAGTAGTTGTATCACTTCCCTTTCACTCAAGAACCAAAGTCTTGGAAACTGTTCACAGAGGGTCTCCAGGAGATCCACCATCTGGTTGGAAATGGCCTCCATTGTAGACAGACCATCGATGAGGATCTGGCAAAGGCTTTTACCATGGAATCTGTCATTTGTCTTTTTAGAATAAACCAAGCTCAACACGTGAAGGTCACTTGATATAGAGTGCATAACTTCCTTAAATGTCTCATCAACTGGTTGGAATCGCTCCAACTATGAAAAAAAAACAAAAAAACATGTGAACTTAAAGCAAATGGTGGAAAATGTATCAGTTTTACAGAGGAATAAAATGACATGTGTTGGTTTGTAATGACACAGGTAAAGGTACATACCAGGTCCTTTCTCTGAACACTAAAGGATGTTTCATGGAACATCCTGGTCAAGAAGGCCCATGCTTGCTGATATCTTTCAAATAAAGAGAGCAGCTTCCCTGTTAATATAAAAAGCAAAAGACAAACAATGTTTATATGGTTTTTGCACCTTGTGGCAAATTTTCAAAACTTTTAATTTTTCCCAATATCCACTAGGGCTGCTCAATTATGGCTAAAATAATAATCATGATTATTCTGATTTATATTGAAGGGAGTCTGGTGACTGTGGAAAAGAGCAGCAAAATTAGCAGTATTTTAGTCACATAAAAATAGGACCACCTAAAAAAATCAACACCACTTTAAATATATGCTGTATTTAGCATATTTTCACCACTTTACTTTGCTGTCAGACAGCCGTCTACAATGGGAAACTGTCACCGTTACACTCCACTGGCAGAAAAAGTAATCTTTACCTCACACAACACAATGAGTAGCTGGTCTTCTGCTGCCCCTCGATCGGGTTGTTAAGTTTGTGTTATTGTGACTTTGGGAAACGACTTAACTGTGCCAGTTCTCTTGTGTGCCTGTCCAAACTGGTAGCATAAGATCGAGAACACAAAATTCTAAATGAAGGCTCAGTCACGAAGGACACTCCCTGCCACTCACCCTATGCCTGCCTCAGACCCAGCTGGTGCCTGCGCAGTGTTGCTGCACAAATGAAGTGAGGGGAAGAGACTCAGCAGAGGAGCCGTAGACTGTGCTTATTCTGCACAGCATGCATGGAAATTAAAAACAATATAGTATATCTTATTACATTTCTTGCCTTTACCCTAATGGGGTGAAATCGCTAAATTGCTTTTGAGAAATAAAGTCACTAAAAAAGTTATTAAGTCTAGCAAGAAAGTCGACAAGTTGGCAACACTGTTTGGGGGGGAAGGGCCGAGCACATGTGCTGGGAAGGGGTGTGCTTGATTTACAAAATTAAAACAAAATGGGAGCAACGTGGGAAGGCTCATCATGCAGCACAAATTCATTTTATCTCAATTAATTTGTTTTGAAAATCGAGAGAAGCCAAAATCGTAACTGAACATAAAACCAGATTAATCGCCCAACCCTAATATCCACCTTACCAAGATCTTGTAGTGATTGCACCCAATCCTCCATCTGCACCCGGCACTCAACACTGTGTGGAGACTCCAACATGATGGACAGAGCCATCAAATCATTCTCTATCTCAGCAAAGTGCATTTCCAGACCTGAGTGAACAAACACATGGAACATCCCAGCAGTTTGTTCAGTGAATATTTTTACACACTTTCTCTTGCAACAGAGCCAAAGCAGTAACTCATTACACTGACTACATCTGCATTACTAATTTGCTAGTTTGGTATTCAGTCTCACCAATGATGAATCTTGCATCATTACAGGAGTGTTGACTGGCAGCTTGGAGATTTGAAACAGTGCTCTCTGTGGGCTCTTCTGTCTCTATTAATCCATGTTGTGACTCAGGATGCTGCCAAACAGGCAGAGTGAATTTGTCCAGCTGGAAGAGTCTGGTTTTCCATCCCTGTTGAAGCTTTTGGAGGGTTTGCTCCATGTGGCACTCTGCTTGTGCATCTCTGCATATCTGACAGGACAAAAATGTCCCATTAGAAAAATTAATCAAGAAATGTGTTAATGGCATTTAATTGTTTGTTGGTGTTGTCACCTTGGTAAGTAGTTTCTCATCAACTTTAAGTTGTTGAGATGTCAGTTCAGCAATAGTCACCTCCCTCTCTGGGACATACACTAGGCCCATTCCTGCCAGAGGAAATTTATTTTGATCAGTTTAGATATGCTGTGGTTGCATGCATGCATGTATTACAAAATGAGTTAAGTGTCTGACCTTCAAAAATAGCTTTCCGATGTCTATGTTTGAGTGTGGGGCTCTGCAGCTTGGCCATGACTGACAGCTGATGGCTTAAGCTTTCCAGGGTTCCTAAAGTCTCCTGCAGCACTGCATCATGGGTTGGTATGATACTTGTTAGAGAAAGCGCTTGCTCTGTCCACGTGGCAATTTTCCCCTGAGCTTGTGACACCACAACCTGACAGAAACATATTTCAGAGGAATACTGAAATGTTTTAATTCACACAACACTCAACACACAAAATACTGTGATGTTATATTGTGAGATAGGCTTTGCTTACCATTACTCCAATTTTTAACATTAGAATACTTGTTCTCAAAATAAATTAAAGGAGCAGTGTGTAAAATTTAGGGGGATTAGGGGGGATTTAGTGGCATCTAGCAGTGAGGACTGCAAATTGCAACTAGCTTAAACTTCCTTTACTGTTCGTTGATCAGGAGGTTTTTAGTGGGAGCTTAATTATCTGCAGAGGTCTCTTCCTCTCCAAAACAAATGAACACAGTGATGAAACCAGTAAAAACACTCAATAAAGCAGTTTTATGTTACACATCAGTGTTTCTCCAAAGCTGTTTGGCATGTCAAAGACAGGCCGCTAGCTCAGCACCTGCTAATATGTGCTCACCTTTTTTGTCAGATAACTTAAGATCTGGATGTTTAGGGGATTTTTACGAGGAGCCAGATTATCTGCAGAGGTCTCTTCCTTCCCAAAACAAACAGACCTGGTGCTTGATACTGGCAAAAACAACTAATAAAGCAGTTTAACATAGAAAAATCTGACTCTGCTCATTGCAGAGGAGCTGCTAACTACTGTGGCTGACACACAAACGTAACTAGCCCTATCTAGAGCCTATTTTAGGTTTGTCCATTCTGAGCAGCTGTAGAAACATGGCAGTGCAACATGGCAGACTACGTGGATGAGGATCCACTCCCTATGTAGATATAGACAGCTCATTCTAAGGCAATGAAAACACAACAATTCTTCTTTTTTTGATGACAATCCACTAAAGGAAACATTTATTATTTTTAATTTCTGCCAATATATCCCCCTAAATCTTACACGCAGAACCTTTAAAGACAGACAGAGAAAGCTAATTTGAGTTGTATATTTTAAACAAATCACAATGAATGCATTCAAATAATGATCTCCTTGCCAAACATGTTTAACCATCTTGTCAGTAAGTACAAAGAGGAACACTGACATGTTACCTCAGTGAAAAGCAGCTGTTTCCATTCCTCCATCCATGCTGTGTACACAGCAATCAGCTCCCACAGCTCTTTACGGGCTTTAATCATCTGAACATGTGTTGTCAAAACGGTCAAATCCATTGGATGTTCTAATGGGAGGCAATAGAACATAACAGTCTGATTAGATTAGGATTTTGTAAATACATAACATGATAACATTTTTACCATGTTTAGAGCAAAACCACCAAGTTTTTTTTTTTTCTTGTTAAACATGCATATTTAATCTACCAGTGGTCAAAGCACGAGTTCAAAAAATAATGTTTTCCAGTCTGGAAACAATTTATATCCATAATTTATACCATCTCACCTTGCAGGTTTTGACTGTTTCTGCTGAGCTGCTCCATCTTTGAGCTGAGATTCTGCACATGCACATACATGTGGGTCAGTTTGGGGACCATCTCTTTTGCATTCTGGGTTGGGTCAAGGAAGGCTCCCGATGTAGCTTCAGAGACCATGTTTTGAAGGTCACAGGCCAGAAATGAGAACATGGTGTCCAATGCATTAGCAACTGAAGGAAGACGTTGGCACACAATGCTATCTGCTTGATTTAAGTGGGCAATAAAGCCATCCCAGGTGGCCAGCATCTGAATATAGAAAACAAAAGCAATTACCCTACAGTGTTTCGTAATGATGCATGAAACTAAGTTGTACAACTATTATATGATTATTAATGCGATCATTTCTTTTTTTTGCCTGCACACCTTTTCTTTCAAAGTCACCTCCTGTTCTGTCATCATCCTATAGTTCATGCTAATAGTGTCCTGGAGGGAGTGAATGTACTCCACACGTTTCTTCATGTCAGCCAACATTTTCACAGACTCCCTTTTCTGAAATGAAAAGACACATTTAGCATTATTATCAGTTTTATATGTTTATCATGGCTAACATACAGTGTTACATCAGTGATGTAAAATGTGTCTCCTGGTCCACAGGTAAGATCAGAAACCATGTAACTTCAAATTTGCAGACTGCTGTTTTAAATTTGAATTTTAAGATGAAAATTCTTAAATAATATAAAGTGAAAGACATCACTGTAACTTTTATTCTTCTATTTTATATCTGTCTTAGTCTCCAGCTCTTTACTGGCACCATGGTGTATTTCTTTTGCACTTAGTCTTGATGCTTTTGATGCTTTACGTAAAGCACTTTGAATTGCCTTGTTGCAGAAATGTGCTATATAAAAAAATTTACCTTTTCTTTCTTTTCTTTTGCAAAAACAAGGTGTTTGTCAAACAATAGTGATATGTTGCTTTTGGGTTCCGAAATCATCAAAATATGTGATATCAGATGGCTAAAATCTTATTATGTTACAGAGCATTAAATATTAGTTGAAAGTTGACATGTTGAAAAGTATTTGAAGTCTAATGTCCAAAGGTGAGGGTTATGGTTAGCTAAAATACAATCTACATCACACAACGTCTCACTCTGACTTGAAACTGCTTTTTGAGAGTGTTAAATAAGTCATCATTACAAAAGTTCACTGGACTACTTACTCCTGCCAGTTATAAAAGGATGCACCGGTGTTCCTTCAAATAACATCACTGACGACCTTAATGCACTATGCATCACCTGATCATTCTTGGATAATGGAATCTAAATTCAGAACACTGACAAGACAGAGCCCTTGGGATGAATAATTAAATTAAAGTGAATGTGTGACCAAAAGAGGAGTCTCACAGGATCTGAATCTTCCATCTACCAACTTTGTAAAGGTAAAACTAGGAAAACTAGAGTGTTGTCTTCATACCCTTTGGGTTATTTTAATCTCTTCTGCAAACCTGGTTATGTATTTCCCTTTACATCCCATTTTCTGCTTTTACTTTTTTATTTTTCATGCAAGTATGTAAAGTTTAGAGAGCTTCTTTACCGTAAGAGCGTATTGTGAGAGGTCATGTAAGTCTCCTGGTTCTGCCTTGAGGTCAGCAGAAGCACTCTCCAGGTCTGATATGAGGCTTTCTGTGTGTAGCTTTATCTGCTCAGCAAGGTGCTGTAGCACTCCCTCCTCAATGACCCTTAGCTGTTGTCCTTGAAAAACAAAGGCAAAAAAAATATTAGAGCTTTCAGGGCATTCACCATGAAGAAGATAAAGCAATTTCTCAACCCATCAACTGGCCATACAGTTTACTTTTGGGGCAATGCTGATTTGAAAAGTTCTTGTAGAGGAATCTGTACTCCAGTATTAAAAAAGACATACCTAGATGTTCCTTCATGCGAGTGCACTCAATGATAAACAGCTGGTTTGAGGTGGAGACTGATGAGGGAACTGTGTAGATTCTCTCCATCCAGTCACGCACCTTCTTTATGTACTCCTCATACTGTACAGCAGGCTGATCCTTCATGGATTCCAAAGAGGCTTGACTCCATTGGCTAACGAACAAATGGATGTCCACCAACCATGAGTAGCTCTCGCACAGCTGCTGGATTTCTAGTGCGGCTTTCTGTCCAGAGAACAGGAAGAATTACTAAAAGGTGTGAGCAGGTTTGTAAATTCTTCGACACGACTGTTATTATTATGCTTTAACACTTGCTAGTAATTGATTTGAAAATGACAGTCTTGCCTTCATGATCTCGGCGTGCTCTTTCTCAACTTGTTTTGCAATGTCATTGATGCTGATGTGCCACTCTAGCTGTCCCTTGGGGAGGGGATAGTAGCAGCCATGCACCCTGTCGCCTTGCACCATTAGCGTGGTCTGTTGAGACAGCGCCAGCCATCGAGCTGACAGGTCTCTGAGCAGTCGATCGCAGCATAACTTTCTGCGACCAGTCATTCCATCGTTGTTCTTATTGTCCCCTGAGAATTAAAACAATGGATACTCAATGAATTATGTCTGTCAAATGACAAATAATATACCATAGTTAATCTGATTTTGGAACCGTTTCATACAGCAACAGGAATGACAACTCTGTGCCAGCTTCAGTCAAATTTTTATATGAATGCTGCAGGTTAACACAATCAACTGAAATCAGAAGAGTGAAATTTGAAGACCAGCAACAACCTCAACACAAAGATCCGTACCTGTAACAGTCAGATGTTCAATACAACTGAAGTCAGATGTTAAATCCGAGGTTAAGACACTGTCACTTATCTCCAGGAAGAATCCACAAGTGTCACACATCTACCAGAGAAGAAAGGTGTTAAAAGGCTGGTGATAAATTAATGATCGAAATGCTGTTCAAAATTACAAAAACACTGCTTGAATAAACAGATACAATAAACATAAAACATTAAATATAATGTAAGTATTAATGCTACATAACTGTTGTATATAACTCTCTAAAAATGATTATGTCATTGCTGTAGAGCAAATTTAATGTTATTTGTAATAAGTACATCCAAGGCCGTACATCTGTGCAAATAAACCCTTTGGAGATATTCATACTGTCATTTTTTTTAATGTGTTTTGGTAACTGAGTCATTCCACTGGTGCAAACACTTTTCTGTTTATGTGGTGCCTCAGATTATGAACTATAAAAGTGAAATATTACGTTGTAATTTCTTTTCTCCATTACCAATTGTCACAAATATGAGGCACATTTCCAGTAACACCCAGTAACAACTGAACAATATAATATAATGTAGGTGTAGCTTTGTTTTTAACTGTGGAAATTTGTAATTACCTGGATTATGGAGTTGCCAACAGTCAGAAGTGCTTCACTCACTGTTTCTTGGAACAGATGTATTGGCGGGTCCACACTCAGCTGACTACTGGCACTGAAACACAGCTCAGTGTGGAAGAGAGAGCGCTGCTGAGACTTCTTCCTCTGACAAACAAAAATACATCAACAGCATTAATTTAATTACATTTTAATCCAATTCATTCTCTTTTTTTATCTGATGCTTCCTACATTATTTCATAGTAATAAAAAATGTGTATCTAAATCTCTCCTGGTTAAAGCTCCAGAGCAGGTTGCAAAAGTGCTCTATCTGAAAATGTTGTTTATTCAAAGCAAAAATGACAAGGCTATTATGTTTTTAATTAACATTTTTTCAGTAGCAGTAAGGCTTGTGTCCTTGTAGTTAGACACTGCTACATAAATAGAGTGATGAAGAATGCTCTCATTACCCTCAAAACATTGTTGAGGAAATAAACAACATCTTGTCGGGTGATCGTGACGAGACTCTGCACAGTCATTTGATTGACGAGATCAGCAAAGTTGCCCAATTTCTGCAAGATGCTTTCAGACCGAGCCAACTCTCTCTTGAGCTCCTGCTGGTGAGCCAGATGGAGGTGAATGGGTTCATAGCGTTTATTTGGCTTTTTTGCGTATTCCATGTGCAGCTGAAGCTCGTTGTGTGCCTTGTAACTGTCCTCTTTTACCTGGGGGATTAAAAAAAAACATCACTGCAATAAAAAATGTAAGTGATAACATTTTAAAGATGCATTTTGTAAAAAAAAAAAAAAAGTGCTTCCTAGAAAACTGCCCAGATTTTGGAAATGGGCAAACTTCTTTCTCAGATGAAACTGTCTGTAATGTTTGCTCCATCATTAAAGCTATTCTTCACACCTTAACACATTTGAGTTTTGTATTGTTTTGTTTTACTTTAGAAAATTGTGTTACCACGTTTAGGATGCCAGCACGACACTGTGATAACTTCTCCAATATCTGCAGACACTCTTTATTCATGGTTATCAGTGCATTCTTGAATTCCAGCAACGTGAAGGTTTTAGACACTTCCTGGGGCAGCCAGTGAGTCCCTTTCAGCTCTTCAATAATTCTGTAAAAAGATACAGTATCATTACCACGCAATATGAGCAACTAATGATAAATCTTACCATCTATAACTTTTTAAAGTTAAAGGTCACATCCAGAAGGTCAATGGGATTCACCTGGTGAGCAGATAAAGAGCATTTCTGAACTGAGGCACAGCTATAACCAGAATATCCTGCAGATTCTCGCACCTGCGCTGGAAAAAGATCTTGCGCACATTTCTATGCCACCTGGAACAAACAAAAAAACAAGACAAAGCTTTAAGATAAAACAAAAAAGAGACAGAAAGTCCTGCTTTTTATGTACTTACCAGGTGAAAGCTTTCCGCAGCCTAAACTCCCTGAAATATGGGATTTCCTGCAAAGAATTCCACAACATAAACTCCCTGTACCACTCTCCCAGACTGACAAGTCCACCAGAACCCCGCTCTGTCACATGTAGCACAGTATTAGGGGTGAAGATGTAGTGCTCAGAACCAGCGTCACTGGGATGGACCACTTGCAGGTCATAGGGTCTAAAAACAAAGAGGGAATATCACTGTGTATTCAGTGATTAATTGTGTGCATCCCAGCAGAATTTAAATACTACATGATAACATCTATGGGAGTGTGAAATTAAAGGTGGGTAGATAACCTGATTACAGTGTACCTGTAAAAGTCCCCATCCACTTCTTTCAGGTAATAAAGCTCCAGTCCTCCCAGGTCTCTTTTCTTGGCAAAGATATCAACTACCTTTGTGCCAGTGAGAGGAACTTTATTTGGTTTGGCTGTGTTCCCATTTTTCACAGTCATTATCTTTTTATTCTTACATGTTGTGACTTTTATTGATTCATCTTTCTCTGTGAGACTGAAACAATAAAAACTGAGTGTAAACAACAAAGCATTTATCAGACAAGTTTGGGGAGTGAATTTTTACAGCTAAATCTGATAGCTCTTATTCTCACAGTGTAACAGATTTCCAAAAAACACACTGGGATAAAACTGTGTCTCGAAAATATCTATTTCTAGCGGTGTGTTTCAGAATACCAAAGGCCTACCAATCCTATCGCATTCTATGATCAACATTACATATTTCATCATAATGTTTCCTAGTGTGAAGTAGTGTGATAATAGTATTGTATCTCATAAATTAGCATCTCATGTAAGCTAAATGAGCAATGAGCTCATACCCACAACTTTTAAAATTGCATCAGAACAAATGGGTGTATTAAAATCAAAATCAAATCTCTTATTATCCCATGTACCTCTGTGCTGTCAACTCATCAGCAGTTCTGAAGGGGATTTCAGTCCCTAATGCTGAGGCCATTAATCGAGGTCCTTCTGTCCATTTTGTGTCATCTATGGCTCTCCCAGATCCCACTTGGGCTATAAGATGAGGGAGTTCTACCACTGATAAAGGTCTGTCAGATGAGACTTGTTTGAGGGTTGGGGTACGACTGAACAGAGCCCTGCCCACAATGGCTGCTGAGAAGGAAGGTGGCCCTGGGCACAGAGGTGGTAAAGTCACTTCAGGAGAGCTGGCCTTTTTCTTAACCTTGGATCCAAGCCTAGCATTGTCTTTACCACAGGTCGGAGAAGCTCCGTCGTGGGATTTTGCTGCTGCAGCAAACATGCTGCTGACCTCTCTTTAAATACCATCAGCAGGTTAAGGTACCACAAAGTTTGTCTTGCCAGTGTCTGTTAAGATTTTACTCTGGAGTTTCTGTAAAAAAATAAATAAATAAAAAAATAAACATAAACTTGGAGCATGAATCACTTGAATACTTATTCTATACCTGTCCTGCAATGTTAACAAGCCACATACTACAAAAACGTACATGAAATAAGCATTGTCTCTATTATATGTAATATCATTTACTAAACACAGATTTATCAGTCTAATGGCATAAAAAAAACTCTACTGAAAAAAATGTTATGGAAATGAAGACTTTTTCTAATTATTTGTTGTCTAGATAAGCAACATATATTATCATCCCTCACGTATCTGACAACACATCCTGAAAAAAATACCATCTATACCTTTGTGTAAAACTCTGGGATTAATCAGAAATAATACTAGAAAAAAGATCCTTACTTAGAGCTAAAAACGTACATGAAATTAGCATATCCTTTCCAATTATTTGCTGTCTATAAGCAATATATATTATTATCCTGCGACTATATAACTTTGTGTGAAGCTTTGGGATTAATTAGGATAAATCGCCACAGACTAGAATCAAGATCTAGATCTAGGTCTAGATACGCAATATATAATCCCTCGGCTATGCTATAGCCTATATCTGACCAGGAGTCCTAAAAAAGTTTACAATCTTGGTGCATAACCAGTGTTGGGGAGTTTCTAGTTAGATGTAACAAGTCACATGTGAAAAATAACTGTAATTGTAATCAGATACAGTTATTGAGAAAAAAGTGATTAAATTACAGATGCTAATTAAAATGTTGCTGATCACAAAGAGGTTACAATGAATATATTCTTTTAGGTAAAAAGTGTAGAGTTGCTTTGCATCTTTTTGCCTTATTTTCTGGACATTATTCAGCTTTAATGCCCAGTTTGAAACATATTTTGAAAAGTTATTAAAAAGTTATCACATTTGATGAGTAAAATTATTCTGATGGAGTAATTAAAATAGTAACATTACTTATTTCATTTTTAACAGGGTAACTAGTTTGCAACCTATAACATTTCAAAAGTAACCTTCCCAACACTGTGTAACTGTCTTATTTACATACTTTTCCCCTAGGGCTGATTAAAATTTGACAAAACTGAGACTGAAATTCACCAAGAAATACAACCTGCAGGTAAAATCTTGATGATAGCACACACAAGCGCATGTAGACGTTAGCTTACATTTATCAACAATTACTAATTATTTCGACTGAAGTACCTTAGTACAATATCCTTCACGTGCTTTTAAAAATTACTGAAACAACTTTAATGGGTTCACGTTATCCACTATTAAATTACAGCACAAAGTCTACGAGCTAAGCAGTGTTTGCTAGTTATCGTTAGCTAGTTATGCTAACCTTGTTATAACAGCTAAAGTTAACTACGTCACTAGTAAAGTTACAGTAAACCAAATATGTTGATTTACACTTGCCGTAGTTCAATAACGTTACCTGCTCTTAACAGAGCTGAAGTTCAGGTTCCAAGGGAATAAGAAAGCAGAACATGGCGTTTCTAAAGTTAATTAAGTACTTTAAAACAACTTATTTACTAGCTAACAACATGAGGACCAAACAAAGTTGTGTTACTTTCTTACCTGGCTGTGAGGAAGTTGTCTGCGCAACCACGGCGACGGCTCGTTGCCACGGTAACGCACAGTAACTTCAGTTGGGCTGTTGGAGCCGGTGAAGGTCAAATGTGTTTAAACAGCTTTAACCTGTTCATAGACAGTTTAATCCTAGATCTTTTTTTAATCCAGTGTAGCTCGTCAAGAATACAGAGAGAGTTAACAAGAAATCACAGCAAATCATTCCAGTACCTTTTATGTTCAATGTGAATTGTATGGTTTTTCATGTTAGTTGAAAACTCAAACAAAATTTGTCCTAATGCTACTACTTTATTTTTCAGAGCACGGGGGTGGCTGCGATGTGACTTTGTATTATTATTAATATTATTATTGTTATTATGACCCTCCCTGACACTACAAATACTTTTTCTCTGAGCCTCCCTGAGTGACTGGCAGAAAATGCATGACCCTTCCTCCACCATAAATTAGTGATTATATTTTTAAAGCATACCTATTGGTGTTTAAAAGTTAAAAGCTGAAGACAAAATTCTGCAGCTGAAAACAGCCTCAGTTTTTCCACTCTTGTCGTGCACGATGGCTAGTTGGTGCAAATGGTTTATATTTGGCAAGTGATTTAAGTGATTTTGATGAAATGCTACAATTTTAAGCTCAGAGTTGGTTATGTTGTTTTTTCTGACAGACATATTTGTCACACATGATGTGCCCAAGGATGGAATTTGAAAATCCAGCAATAGCTTCTGTTTTTACAGGTTCTGCTGATGATAAATGGTTTAACTTGGGCGATTTTTAAAGAATTAAATGCTCAGTATGTTTTTTTTTTTAAATCTGCACTAAAATAAATACAAAACTGCAACCATTTAAAGTTGTATACCCCTCTCTTAAGCTAAACACGTCCCTTTTTGCACCTCAGTACCAAACAGCCCCTACTCTGATTGATTTCCTACTATGACATTTTAAAAGTATCTGCTGTGATCAATCTATTACCAAGAAGCCAAACCTGTGCCAGACTTCTCTGCTGTGCATCCAGCTGACCAACAACAACCCCTTTAACTCTTCCATGACCTGTTTATAGTTTAAATTTTCATGCTGATCTCTTAAAATACCATATACACCTACTCATCAAGAAGTCCAGAATGGCCATGTCTATGAAGTCCACAAGTCTTGTGCCTTTATTGTACGGCGCAGTCTTTGTCACAGTTGAACAGTAGTCTGGCTCCGTCTCCCACCTGAAACGGACACACATCATTGGCATCATTAGCTTAAGCAATGGCACCTGTGCTTAATACGCCTGGCATCCTCTGTTAATGCTGATTTCTTTCCAAATTAACTTGAAACTCCTTGTATTCCCATTGCTTTATTGCGTAAAACATAAGTGTTTTCTGTTTAATTCTGTTGAAAACAGTGGACAGAAATCTTTCACTCATTCTATGGAGCTCAAGTTTTGTTAATGCTGAGCACAAATCAGTCCTACTCTTGTATTTTGTCATGAAGTAATCCAGCAATATTTTTTTTCCTGCAAAATCTGACTCACACATGCAGTATAAATGCTAGAGGTGAGACCAAGTCACTGTTTTGCAAATCACAAGTCTCAAACCAAACGTAATGCCTTTTTAACATTTATTAAATTTAAAACAATCATGAGTGCTTATAAAAGTTTGAACTTGTGTGTTTAAACTGTTTTAAATTGTTGCATCCCTGTCTGTAATTTTTTGACCCACACATTTTGCATATTGCAATGACTTATCTTTGTATCTTTTTTTTTCCAACTGGCACTTAGTAACATAACGTTAGCTCTTCATAGCTTTCCTGCAACTTGATTGGATGCTGTCAAATTGGTTCAAACAATAGAAATCTTGGGAATTGGGTGTCAACTTGCTGGGAATAGTATTAACCATAGTGGATTCAGGAAATGAAGAGAAAAGAATTTAGTCATGGCACACTTTTTCAGTCGCATATTTTTTAATCTCAGGGCTTGAGGGAAGGTGTCAAGTATTTTCAATTCTAAAGTCAGGTCATTGGTTTTAAAGTCTATGTATATACTATATAGTATATAATAACCTGGAATTACAAATTATTGTGTTTCCATTACCTCGGACTGAACTGTTTATATATACACAGGAAGTGGGTCCACATCTATAGAGTTCACCAGGTTGCACCACCATGTTTCTACAGTATCCCAGAACGGACAAACTAAACACTGGCTCTATATAGGGCAATTCACGTTTTTGTGTCAAACACTGTATTTAGAAGCCCCTCTGGGACAAGCAGTATCGCATTTGAAACTGCTTTATTCAGTGTTTTTACTGGTTTAAATCACCTGATTTGTTTGTCTGGCAGAGGTACAGACCTCTGGATAATTTGGCTCCCGGTAACAACCTGCTGAATAACAAACATTGAAGGGAATTCTAACCGGGAGAAGTTTCAGCTGGATGAAATCTGCAATCCTCACCACCAGACGCCACTACATCTCCCTAAATCTTACATACTGTTCCTTTAATTAATGATGATTAATCAGTAAAATTTAAATGGTATACAAATGTAGCCTTAATTTAAAAAATGATGACGCAATTAGAAAATTAATCAAAATTTGGTTGATCATAAGAATTAGGAGCCTCACAGAAGGGCTTCATGTTTTGGGGGCACACTGAGGAGATATGTTGAATCACCTTGTATCATCCAGCACACTCACTTCTCTGTGACTCAAGACCCTACACCCACTAACTTTGCCAGCTTGCTGCGGCTGTAAGAGCGTCTCCAGGGGGATCTCCAGCTCCTGCGGACAGCCAGGGAGAGATCTGGCAGCATGACAGCCAGGGAGGCCTCCAGGTCTCTGGGGCGGCCACACACAGCGTGCTCTGTTGAACAGTAGTAGCTGCACTGGCCGTAGAAACACAGATTACCCACTAGGGGGAGCCAGAGGTGCACAGAGAGAGGAGAGGAGAAGCGATAACATGACAAAGGAAAAATTGGGATAAAAGAGGTTGTGGGTGGTTGTGACCAGAGAGAATTAGAAGAAAGGAAAAACATTCAAAGAGAATCATAATCAGTTGACATACAAGGGCATTTTAAACAGTGTAAATGAATAATGGAGGATTGTGTGAGCTGTACCAGGGGACGTAAAAAAGGTTCGGGCCAGCTTGCGGTCGGTAGTGACATCTTTGATCTCCTTGACAACATCAACCAGCCTCCCAACCACTGGTGGCACTCGCCTGTAACCCAAAATCCTGCAGGGAGAGTGGAGGAGAATGTGAGATGAGGACAAAAACAAGTGGGGCGGACAGAGAGACAGGCAGAAAGAGAAAACCAGAGAGGGAGAAGAGAAGAGGAGAAAATACAACTCTTTGTTTTATAACATGTTAATTATGTGGCCATTTTATCCACTATTTCACTCATTGTGCAAAGTTGGGAGGGGGAAACAGATGTGGTACCTGTCCAGGTGAAAAGCAGCGATTTCTGCATTGTGTCTCTCAAAGTCTGAGAAGTAATACAGGTTGTAATTGGTTTCTTCATCTCTCTCCTGCCTGCCAGGGAGAGGCAAAGTCAAACAGCAGTACATGATATATTCATTAACTACATATTGACATTAATTAAATGGATAGTTCGGATTTTTTCGATGTGGGGCCATATGAGGTACTTACATATAGTCAGTGTATTACATACAGTAGATGGCGGTCAAGCAGATAGGAGTACCATCACATAAGCTCAGAAATACACTGCTGTGGATGGGGGGTAGCAGCTAATCATATTTTAGCCACTTAATAAAAGGCCTACCTGTAAAATTCAATATAAGCGGACGCTACATTTAGAATATTTTCACCGCTTTACCTTGCCATTACAGCCCTATCCTTTGCACTACATTTTCTCAGCCTTACAACTTCCATACGCATAAGCACAACTGTGCCATGCAGCTGTTTGGGTCAGACTTTTGGTGGTTTATGGAGGAGACAACAGATACGGGGAAATAACAAAAATAGTCATTATGACAGCAATGACAAAATGCTCGTCACTGTGGAGACAAAAGGAAACCTTTGTGAACCAGACTATAGAGAAGAAGAACTTTTACATGGGATGAAGAAAGAAGGTAAACAGATGTGGACACTAGAGGCCCAGAAAGAGTTCAAGCTAACTGTGTAGGGCTGCACCTTAATAGCCGACCAAACGTTAGCCAACCATAAAGGTCATTAGTCAGCAAGATTTCATTGGTCGCTGAAACTCTATTAGGAGCTGCACCTTGTCAAATTAAATCTAAACCTATATGACTTGACTATGTGTGTTTTTTATTTGAAAGGACAGATACAGGAAGTGTCCATGCTCAGCAGTCAGACAGGAGTCAGGTTAATTTCCAGGGCTGGTACCTGCGGTTATTCCACAGGCTAGTTAATAACAAGTCGGGCAGGAAATCCAAAGTGTGGGATCATTTTGAGAAGGTGAAGGACAAACCCAAGGTGATATGTAAACTCATCTTCATTGGTCTACTACAAACATGACGTATCATCTGAAACATGGAAGTAGCTACATGCCCATTAGCCCACAGCGTCAGTAACAGGCGGCTCGCTCAGTGTGTGACGTGCACTTGGAGATAAAATATAGGCCTATATTAATGAAGGTTCATTAGTACGGTTTTTTATTTCTCTGTAATGTAGCACAGTGTTAACAATGTTACTGATACTATTCTTTCTCACACCTTCAACTCAAACCATTGTGTTGCCCCGCACAAAAATATATGATTTAATAATTACATTAAAATCGTAAACATGCTAGTCGACCAATGACTCTAAATGACCACTATTGGTTGGCTAGAAAAATTCTTAGTTGGGGGCAGCCCTACTATGAACGTGTGCCTGTGGACCCAGAAGGCTGCCGATATGAGTGGGGCTTGGTTACAACACAACCTCAGCATCTTTCTCATCAGAAGTTGCCAGTGCTTCAAACTTTACCAGTTGTTTGGTAAGTCGTTTCATTTATTTGTACGTCTTTGATGTAATTTTACTTGGTGGTTCAGTACAGCAGTGCTCTTTAGAAAGTATCTCTCTCGCTTATTCGGCAATGGTTTTACACAGTCCTTTTGAGAGACATGAGTTGTCTCAATCTAGCAGAATGCTGATATCCATACTCAGTGTAACTAGCCACAGCTGTTTTCATTACTTTCTTTGAATAGCTCGGAGAAACACAAGAACTCACAATCTTTAAAATCTCAAGAAAACTGTAGTTTAGTTCCAGTTTTATCATATGTACATAGCACTTTCTGACTGGAACGGCTGGCCTGCTTATCAGTGGTTCAAATATGTTTTGCTTCTAACCCCCATCCACAGCAATGTATTGCTTAGCTCCAGTGGTAGTACTCCTGCCTGCTTCTCCAAACTGGGACCCTGCCAACTAACATCTATAGTTGGGCAGCAGTAGCTCAGTCCATAGGGACTTGAGTTGGGAACCAGAGGGTCGGCAGCTCAAATACCCATCCACACCAAATATGGAAAGTGGACTAGTAGCTGGAGAGGTGTCGGTTCGCCTCCTGGGCACTGTGGTGGTGCCCTTGAGAAAGGCACTGAATTCCCACGGGCCCGTGGACAGGCAGTTGAATTTCCCCTTATGGATTAATAAAGTATATCTTCTTCGAAAACAATGACTTTGGATATAGTCCCACTTCAAAGAAAATCCAAACTATCCCTTTAAAGCTTCTTTTGTTTGCTCGCTTGCTTGAACTAGCACATACAAGCTGTAGAAGTTTCTGTTAGCCATACAATGTACCATTTTTACCAGATGTATTTGATCCATTTCAAGACAACTGAAGGTTGTAAAGGATGTAATCCTTCTTGGACTTCATACATTCTCTGTAACATGCACAATGTGTTGGATTTGCCACCTGCGACTCACTTCATGGGTTTAAACATGGCTTGTCCATAGTTAGGAAATGACATCACCAGCTTCAGTTGCGTCCCCCCAGACTTCTGCACTGAAAAACAGCACAGAGAAGGTTTCCATAGCAACAAAGCACACAGCGAACACACACACACACACATACAACACACGCCATGCTGTGACAGAACACATTGTCCATTAATGGAGGCACAAACACACACACACATAAGACACACAAAATGTAACAGAAAATACGTGCGTCATCGCCATGATATAACATGGTTCAAACAGTTTGTGGACACACACAGCGCCGTGTCATCTCTCTGACACACATAGACACACATGGCTTTTAAGTGGGATAATTTATAACTTGCATTCATTCTCATGAATGCCACCCAGCCTTGACTATATAATGTGATACAATATATTATCAGAAGCATTAGATACAGTGAGTCAGACTGATTTATCTTTAATGTTTCTAAATGTCTGATTCATTTATATATATTTTTAACACATACATTCAATATACATCTTTTTTTTAAGTGTTTTTTCTATTCTGGTCTTCTGTCTTTATCTTTATATCCCAGGAGTGAATAAGTTAGTTGGATAAAGCCACAATCTCTTAACAAGCAGAACTTTTTTGTGCACACGGTCACTATCCTAAACTTTCTGAAAGGTTACTCTGGGGTTCACTGTCAAATAGTTAGAATTAATATGAGTGATGCTGAACCAAACTGACACTGCCACATGTGTAGTAAAAGAAACTACTGGAACTTATTAATTCCACTGTTTTGTATGTATAATTGGAATCTTGAAATTATTTACACTGACAAAATACAAGACCTTGTGCTTATAAATTATTTATCGTTTGTCAAGGTTGAGTGAAGATTCAACCACATGCCACATCCCAAATAAGGTAACGAAAAGCCCTTCAGGTATTTATGCTACTGCTGCTTGTTGAAGCAAGGCTATGTCTCTATGACTAAATAACACATTCCCCCTCCCCTACAAATAATACCAAAATTATTTCTTTTGAAAAGATGGACATTGCTGTTAGACTGAAATCACTCAGTCAGTTCTCTATCTTTATTACTATTATCTGCTTGTGGTGGTCTTTTAACATTAAAGGGACAGTTCACCAAAAAATCTTTTCCTGTAGTGTTTATCAATCTACATTATTTTGTGCGAGTTGGCAAGTGTGGACATTGGCCGTAGAGATGTCTGCCTTTTCAACCTAGTCTCACCCCAAAGTCGTCAAAAAACAGCGCCTGGTCAGTGACTTCTGGTGCCAGACACCCACAAATAAAAAAGCTGTCTTTTCAAGTCGACATGAGTCGGCCAGTCGCAGTTATTGTGGTTCAGCACAAGATGCAAACATTAATAGTGTTTTCTTGGCTGACCTGTAAAATTAGCTTGCAAGAAAAATCTTTTTTTTTAATTTTATATTTTTTTCAATTTTTTTCTTTTTTTCAATTAATTTACTTTACTTTACTTTATTTTACTAAACTTAACTTAACTTAACCTAACTTAATTTAATTTAACTTAACTTAACTTTATTTTATTTTATTTTATTTTATTTTTTGGTGCATTGAGCACCACAAGCCAAGTGCTATCTAGCCTCATTATATTCTAGAAAGGGTAGACATCTCTGTGGCTGATATCTCCAACACTCGGCAACTCACATCAAAACAAGCAAGATTGATAAACAGCACTACAGGCAACAGGAAAAATATGTATTTTCGTTTTTTGGAATGAACTGCCCCTTTAATTTTAATCCAGTAATTTTCATTTGAGGCCACAGAAGCTGTTTTTTTTCCAGAATAAAGTTACATAGTTTCATCAGGAGAAGTCAGATTTTCTAACCCAAACCCAATTTCTAACCATTAAACCTTGAAATATCACTTTTCACTTTGAAGGCCAGGCAGAGTGTCCTACCAAACCAAAATGTCCTCACAACAACAGCAGACTGCCAGAGGTCAGTCCTCACAAGTTTAACTAAACCAGACCACATACAGAAACGCACTGAAAGGCACCAAACTCAAAGTGAAAAAGTTAGAGTGGAGAAACATGCATGATTGATTGACACCGAAATGTTTGCTATATGGCCAGTGGCTCATATATTCCCAATCCATCGTCTGCTGAGCCTCCAAGGCCCTTCAAAGCTTCACTGTAGCTTTCATTTCAGGGGACTTCAAAGTGGATCTACATTTGAAAGTCCAACCCTAAACCTCAGCTGTCACACAATCACAACAACCCTCCCCTTCATCTTCACTCTCCCACCCTGAAGCTCATGCACCCACCTTTACCATGACAGGCTTGGACGAGGAGGTAAAATTAGCTGAGGTAATGATGATAGATCTATTGCTTTTTAAGAGACCACGTTGTTCTTGTGCTGCTGCAGTCCTACAGAAGTCCTTTCATTCACTTATCTATTCAAGAGGTTAATTAAGTTTGAGAGAACTGCCTCGGATCCTCCTGTCCTCTACTTGAAAAACATCTCGCCTTTGCATGTCTTACACCTCCTCTATCGTTCAAGATTAGTGTGTTCTTGGTTTCAGGCTCTGTGCAGTCTACTGAACATACTGTGGCGGAGTAAAACTGTTGAACAAATTCAAAAAGGAAACAATGCACAGACATATATCACGCAGCTGAAAACACAGCTCTGAAGTTCTGTGTCACACCTGCGCTGACGATGGGGTGCGTGGCGAGCTGCTGGGTCAGCTGCTCCATGTTGGGGTCACGATGGGGATACAGCTGCCAGCGGGAGATGCCCAGGTGGAAGCGCAGCCAAGGAGGGTGGCTGGTACTGTTGCTGTTCCACTGAGTATCCTCGTAACCTTCCTGGCTAGCACTCACCCTGTAAAAGAAGGAAGAAGTAGAGAATGATGGGGCGGGAGGTTGAGGAGGGAAAAGAGACAAAGGAGGTTGTGTTAGCTTGATGTTATCGTCTCAGAGACAGAAACTTAAATGGTTTTGCTAGACAAATAACTGATGATTTGTCCAGCAGCATTACTAAGACAGTTACATAAAAAACAGAAACGTTGTCAATTAATATATTCATTGATAAACAAAAAATAATCAGCAACAATTTTGATCGCTAAGTCCCATGCCCAGACGCAGACTGGCCAATCATAACGTAGCATCGGGCTGGCTCAGACCAGGGTCCGACAACAGCGCAGCTGTGCTAATGCAATCGTTCGGATTTCTTTCATTTTCAGGCTGGTTTTTTGGATTTGGAGCTAAATGTTGTGCCTGGGGCACGCCGTGTAATTCTTCCCCATTCCAAAACCAAAATCAAACCCTGAAATGTGTAGGGTTAGCTAGCTAGTAGTCTCTATATACAGACTCTACATTCAGTGAATGTAGAGTCTGTAGGCAAACCCAGGAGATCCTGCCTCCGGAAGAAGAGCGGAAGAGCCCTGGTTTCCGGTTGTAGGCTGTTTGTAGTTTGCGTGATTTTGATCAATCACTTTTGAGCCTTCTGCAGTTGTTGCCAGTTTAAACGGTCCGTGCGGTGAACTAACGAGGCGGAACATAATTGGCGTCACTGCAAACTCTGAATCCATCGCAATGGTTCAGCATATTTACTTAAATATAAACAGAAGTCGGAAACGGAAGTTCGCCTCCTCCGCCCAAATCAAACCGGTTTGCCCCCAGAGGCTGTATCGCCATCTGCCGGAAGTCAGACGCTGAATACAGCTGATGGGTTCCGAGAATGGAGTCATGTCGTGTAATTCTTCCCCATTCCAAAACCAAAATCAAACCCTGTAAAGTGTAGGGTTAGCTAGCTAGCTACTGAAGATATAGCCTGCTGAATGTATACACAAGCCTTTTGGTTTTACACAGGACACAAACCCCATTCTCCTGTGTGAAAGTCCTGTGGACTTCCTCTCTCTTTATACTAACATTATGTCAGCTGACTTCCACTGTCGCCACATAATAATAAATAAGGCATTGTGATAACTTCTCACTATTTTCTGACATTTTACAGATGAAACAATAATCAATTAATTAAAGAATAAATTGATAATGGAAGCAACTGTTAGTTGCTGCTATACTAGAAACAGTGGATGGCTGTAGAGACCATGGCTCTTGCTAAGAAGGGGAAAGCCACCTGAAAGATGCCACAAAAAATACCAAGGAGGCCACTTTGTGTCTACAAAGGCTGTGTGGCCGAATGGTCTAATTGTGTTGAGACTTTTGAGGACATAACATTTACGGACAACATACAGGAGATCTGTACATTCCTGCAGAGACACCACAGAAACCTATAGCGGCAGCAGCATTATGACAAGTATGAACCAGCCCTGACAACAGGAGATCATGTCTATTCCCTGCAGTTGACCCATCTGCTGAAAATCTTCCATGCACTGATGATGTATTTGCATTCCATAGGGATATGCAAAGAAGCCAAGTGTAATAATACCAGGAATTACCCAGCCTGGTCATCAGAAGAAAATGGCACTGTCCTATTCTGCAAACCATGAATATGCTAAATTTGTACATTTCATACGTATCATATCAGCGTTTCTAAAGTGGCGTAGCATATGAGCTGACTTTGTAATCAGGAAGTGGAGGGCATGGTGGATGGCATGGTATCTAGGGGAGACGCTTGCCAAGCTGCAGAACACTGTTTAAGACCAACAAACAACAAAACTGGTTGTGTTGTAGCGACCCGGTGGCTTTCTAACCACCAAACATCCTGTCGCTGATTTTACTGATTGAAACATAAACACACATAATGACTTCCAAATGTAATGTACCTGTGGTTTGCAGACACGTACAATGCCAGCATTTATTCTTGTGATTGGGTTGCATCATAACACAAAGCTGTCTATACAGTGTTCAGAGATAAGGTTGTATTTAATCGGCTGAAAGATGCTGAAAGAAGTAAAATAAAGCAAATACAACAAGTATGTTTCGTTAAGGGAAGTGGTTATGGGGAGGTAGTAAGGAGAGTAACTGACCACATCTGGGAGCTCTTCTCACTAGCCTTGATCTGTGGTTTCACTTTCAACAGCCAGTCACCCTCAGGGATAGGAGGGCTGGGCATATTGTAAAGGGGATGGTCAAACAGCATCTCCAGTTTTGATAGCCCAGACTCCACAGGTTCAGCTTGATTGATGCCGTAGCGACCCACATTGACTGGCGTGTCCATTGAAGTGTATGTTCGTTCCGTCACTGATAGGCCCACGTCAGAAAGTGTTTGCACATGACCTTTGGCATCCTTACTGGCACCTTTATCGGAATAATCTATTTGTCTGGTATCTGTCAGGGGCTCAGCTGGATGACGAATCCCCATGGAGGTGTAGTCAGTGTGTGCCAGGTCTCTCAGGATGTGTGTCCTGGGTAGCAGTGGGGGGTCACAGGGCTGGTGGTAGATGGGAAGAGAGACAAATGCCAGGAGGAGGTGGAGGAAAATGGTGATGAAGGCCAAGGACAGACAGATTGTCCTGGAGCGACAGCGCATACGCCACATCATTCCTCCTGAGAGGAGGGTCAGGAGAGTTGAACACATGAATGGAAGAAGAGAGAAAGAAAATGTCGTGTGAAAGATCTTGAAAAACATGTTGGGGGAACATGAGAAAAGCCATATGATGTAGAGCGCTAAAAATAAATTAAAGACACAGCATCAAGCAAGCCATAGCAGAACATGCCATTGACAAAGGCAATAAAGTAGCTTTTTACAATCAAAGTTACAATCAAGTTTTTTTGCAATCAAAAAAACTGAATGCTAGTCTACTCCTACCTGCTCCCATTCTCACATGACCTAACTGAAGTCACTGCACAAATCCTCTTACATGTTGAGAGAAACAAAAGGCAACTTACCAAAGCTTCCTTCCTTCTGCAATGCTTTCTGACACCCTGCTGCTGTTGTTATTTCCCAGTGGAATGAGATGGTACTCTATTCAGTATCCAGTCAGCCTTTACACAGTTGTTTGTACTTTTCTCCATTTCTGCTACCAGCCTCAGGTTGGGAGGGGTGCCAGGTTAAAGTGATCTAGACACAGATCAATGTGTTTACTCTCTCTTTTAAAGGTCATGTGTGTAGGATTTACTGTAGGGGGATATAGTGGCAAGTATATTTTCTTTAGTGTATAATCACCTCAAAATAAGAATCATTGCATTTTCCTTACTTTAGAATAAGCCTTTATTTCTACATAAGGAGCAGGTCTTCATTTATGGAGATTGCCATGCTGCACCACTATGCTCAGGATGGGCAAACCAAACACTGGCTCTAGATAGGGCCATTCACATTTTCTCGTCACTTAAGCACACACTAAGTTATCAGAGAAAACAGATAAGCACACATTAGCAGGTGCTGGGCAAGCAGGCCATCCTCGGTGTGCTGAACAGCGTGAGATACACTGATTTGTAACATGAAACAGCTTTAATCAGGGTTTTTAACCGGTTTTAATCACTTGGTCCATTTGTTTTTGAGAGAAAGAGACCTCCACAGGTAAAAACCTCCTGAGGAATGAACACTGAAGGAATTCTAACTGGAAGAAGTTTCAGCTGGTTGCAAGTCTGCAATCCTCACTGCTAAATGCCACTAAATTCCTCTACATTTTACACACTTGATCTTTAAAGTCCTTTTCTGCTGGTTTATTTGTCTTGTGTGTCCTTCTGTCAGCGCATTAGACCTTTCAAAATCCTACTTTTTAATTTGCACAGTGTGTCTGATGATCTAAAAATTTAACCCTATTCTCCTGATTCCCTTGAAAGTCACTTCAAAAGACAGTTTGATTTAAAATAGAAATAGGTTTTCACATAAAGGAATTTCCTTTAGTCTTTTGGTGCATGGGTGACAAAAATAGAAAATAGCTAACATTAGAGTAGAATATCAAAAAATAGTATTTAAAATATGTCCAATATAAGTGTTTAAAATGAAAGAACTGGGCAGGAATGTGCAAAGGTTCAAAGAATAAAAAGAATATGCAATGAACAGAGATGATAGTTCAAAAAAAGGTGCATTAATATAACACATATAGACAGATGTGAAGATCTTGATGTTAATGTTTTGTGCAGCGTCTATGGGAGATGTTAAGAGCACTCATAAGACTTTGATGCTAATCAGTCGGTATTGGAATGGCAATCTGACTGCGTAGACTGCATTAACACATCCAGTCAGGACTTCAGTACACACACATTGACAAACTTGAACATTGCAGCAAGATCTGTACTCTGCATTGATGGTCTGACATTTGAAATGCTGTGAAATGATGTGTCTTTGATGTGGAGCATCGGTTACAATATAAAAGAGCATTTAACAATCTCTGAATTAAGATCTGAATCTGCTTCAATGAGCAGGAAATCCCTTTTGTACTCCTGCTTTGAGCTGAAACCTTAAATTTCTGTTGCACGTCTGACAACAATGTAGAGATGGAGACATATTCTTACTCACGCACTAACTCACACTGTTAAAGGAGCTATATGTAAGAAATCTAAAGCAAATAGTCATAAAATCCTCCTAATATGTCACAGAGACTAAGGAATAATGTTAATATAACATACTGATCTCACCGACAACAATAACCAGCCAGAATATTTGCAATTTTTTAAAAAAAAATTACGGTCCGCAAATCATGTTCATGTTATGAATTTGTGTTTTGGCCTGTCGCCATCTACCAGTCACACAGTCAGTAGAGTTTCAGCATCCGGGTTGCCAGTAGTTATGACTGAGCTACAATGGCTGACAGTGTGACTAAACCCAAACGCCCTCATTATGATTCCCAAAAACGCCAAGACAAAACTCGAGGCAAAGCGAGGATCTATATAGGAGATGCTTTTGAACAGTGGAGTTGAAAGCGGAGAAGAATCTGAAATCGGATGTCGAAGTGGCTACTCTTCTCCTCGACAGGTAAGCTTTAGCCAAAGTTGCTTAACTAGCATCATAGCTAAACGGGGATGGACATTTCGAATACTTTCAACTGTTATTCATTTTCGATCATACATTGTAGCCCATGTGCAGGTGGGTCATCGACCCGAGTGATTTTTTTGAAAAACAAACTTTAGCAGCACGGCAAGCAGCATTAGCAGTGTCCTCTGCTGCTCTATCCTGGCAGCAGCGTTAGCAGCAGAGAAGCCGGACTTGCTCAAACAGGGGGCGGACACGACTTGCGGCAGTATTTTGAATTTGAGTGCAGTAACCGTTTTGGCCACATTCTTACATACGGCGCCTTTAAAGGTTCATTGTGTAGGATTTAGGGCGGATATATTTGCAGAAATGGAATATATTATAATAACGTTTAGATTCAGTATCAGACAACTTTATTAATCCCACCAGGGCAATTTTCCTTGCACACATGGTATAACATAACATACAGTAACATGTAGACACATAAATAAATGAGTAATAAAATAAAAAACAGAAATAAAAACTATGCCAATGAGTTCAGTGGAATAAAGGAATCTATAAATAATATAAAACTAATAGACTGATTATCATAAAAGAGATTAAAAAACAATTCAAAAAAAGTATGTTTTCTTTAAAATATGAATGGTAGTGTTTTTGTTCCCCTGGATTGAGCTGTTTATATCTACATAGGGAGCAGTTCCTCATCTACAGAGATCGCCATATTGCATCGCTATGTTTCTGCAGTAGCCCAGGATGGACAAACCAAACACTGGCTCTAGATGGGGCCATTATCATATTCGCATCAGTCACCGCATTTTGCAGCCCCTCCGCGAAAAGAAGCGTTGGAAAAGCACTGATGTTTTTTACACAAATCTGTTTTATTCAGTGCTTTTACCGGCTTAAATCTAATTTATAAACACTGCATATGCACAAAACGAGGCCCAAAAGAGGCGTATGCCACTTCCCACGCAAAAGTTGTGATCTATAAAAGAAAAAACAGACTTGATGGGAGAAACTTTGACCCATGCTTATGAACATTTTGGAAACATGACATGGGCGACGCAGATGGTGAGGTGGAAGCCTGATTGTAGAAACTGTTGAGTGTTTTTTTGGCACACACCATTTTTGGCTTTTGTTGGTATGTACATTTTTAGTACGGATCCTACGCACTGTTTTATAAATGAGACCCCTGATCTGTTGAGTTTGGAGAGGAGGAGATCTCTGCGGATAATTCGGCTCCCAGTAAAACCTCCTGACCATTGAACACTGAAGAGTTCGAGAGTTCACACTTGGGAGAAGTTCAGCTGGTTGCAATCTGCAGTCCTCACTGCTAGATGCATCTGAATCCTAAACACTGCTCTTTTAACATCTGTCAAAAACTTACCACGGAAGTCCATGAGTAATCTCTGATTTTTATTGGCATCAATCTGCAGCTTGTATACTGTACAACATCAGTTTAAAAAAACACTACCTCCAACAACATAGAAATTAAGCCCCATTTCCACCAAACACTTTCGGTATGGTACCTTTGGAAACAAAAGTGAGCCTTCAGACATGGAGCCTAGACCCTAGGTCCATTAAGCATTTCCACTGCAAACAGTTATCACTCACTGCTCCGTCCAGCACTCACTGTATTTCTCTTTACCAGTGACATAAATAGAAGTCTGCAACTTGTTTATCCTCCACAGAACGAGGCTGCATGGCGACATTTTCTGAACAAAATAAAACAGGCTGCAGTGAGTCTCTCTCATGGGATATTTAAAAATAGCAAGTTTGTGCATTTAGTCCTTTGCATTTTTTGCAGGCCCACAGGAGTGACGCTCCACAACAGTATGGATTTCAATATATGCTGTCCAAGAAAAATTAATATGTTTAAATGCTTGAAGACCCACTCATTACTAAAAGTGTATGTCACATAAAAACGTAAGTAGTGGTCAGTGTTGTCACAGTGAAATTTAAGGTGTGCTGATGGATTCACGTTATCAGCTCACACACTGAGTAACATAACAAGTTAATGTTCCACCTTAAAAGTTGCCTGCCCAGTGAATTAAGTTATTTTCTCCGTCTCCAGCTGCTGCAAGAGGCAGAGGCAGCAAAACATCCTTTCATTTTATAGTTACAGTTTACTAATAAACTCTCCACAGTATGAACAGTGGTTACATGAGCCTCAAAACCAGCCACAACTCAGCCCTGAGCAGAGTGGCCATCCTCTACTGACCAATCAGACTGCAGTGTTCACAGCTCCCCCTTTTAGTACCAGATCTGTGTGCTAGGTACCCCAAAAGAGGGGGGACCAAAAATGGGGATGGTGCAGAAAAGTTCTATTGGTACGATCCACAACTTTTCACAGTGGAAACAGAAAAGTGTACCTAACTGAACTGAACTGTACTGGACTGGACTGCTTGATGGAAACGGGGTTTTAGTTAGCATTTTAGCTCTCCCGGTTCCCTCATCTCAAAGTCAGTGGGTTTTTTGAATGGGCTTTTGATTAGATGCCTGAAATACTGTAAGTCTGTAGTTAACACAAGCTTAAGAGATTTTTACTTGTTGTTCTAACAACCCACTCATAAATTTTGAAGCTTTAACGTGTCTCAAAAACGCTACAAGTGGCCAAATGAGACTGC